ATTGTCTTACCCTAAGATTGCGGCCACCGCGAGCCACTGGACCCTCCTCGTCAGAGTCCTCAGCAGCCCCTTCGTCATGCTGGGATTCTTGAATCACACCTTCCATGTCCTCCTCACCCTCGGCATCTTCCTCTTGCGCATCTTGCGCAGGCGAGCTGTCCTTGCTTGCCTCCACTTGGGTCTGAGTGCCAGCAATGATGGCGTCGAGGGGACCAGGACTGTCGTCGCGGATCATTGATGTCTCTTGCGAAGCTTCCATGATGGCGCTAGGATGCTCGATCTTGGGACCCTTGCCTCCTCTTGTTGCGCGCGCAATGGGCTCAGGACTGCGGGTCCCTTCACGGATAACAGTGACATGCTTGCCGGAGTCAGAGAGCGCGACGATAGGTTCTTCAATATCATGCGAAAGACGAGTACTACGTCGAGTTCCATGAACCTCTGGTGTTCTCCCGCGCGCAAGTGATTTGCTGCCGGTACGAGTGCGCAGGTTGCGACTGGAGCTGTTGTCGGGCATCTTCAGCTTTACAATAAGCGATGGCTTGTCAACCTTTTCGATGGAAGGCTGTGCACGGCGTCGCGAGGCAGGCTTGGGCGAGTCGTCTTCGGATGGCGTGTCTTCGATTTCGTCTTCGCTCTCTTCGTACTTGATTTGCTTCTTGGTGGCGCGACGCACGCTTCTGCCTGTCGCGGGGTTGATTTCTGGCTCCTCTGACTCGGAGCGCTCGGTAAAGGAGTCGTCCGACTCGATTTCGTCGTCGTCGTCGATGTCAGAGCCGCTGTACACGCGCCGCTGGCGCTTCGAGGGCTTCTTTTTGGCCCCCGGCGTGCTTCGGTTGCGACGGCGCTGAGGTGCTGCGCGTCTTTCCGAATCGTCGTAATCAAAGTCGTCGGGATCTGATGCGTTGGGGTCGATGTCGAACTTGCGCTTCGATCGGCTAGACATAGGGACTTGTTTGCGGTGAAGCTGTTGCGTTCCTAGGGTAGCGCGGTGAGTGAAGGGGATCCGATGCGTCGCAGCTAGGGCGCACTTACACCGCCCAAATAGGGTATTTGTCAACTTTCACGATTGCATCAGTAGCAGAGAAGGCTCTCGTGCATGTGCGCCGATGATGGCAATAGCGCGCGCGATGCTGAATGCCGGCTGGCCGTGTGTCGTGTTGTTGTGAATAGGTATGCGCCTGCGGGTGCGCGATGCACAAACGAAAAGGACGCAGAAAAGGACGCGAAGGACAAATGATAAATGGCAGACCCCTCCAAAACCCACAAGCAGTAGGGAAGCCGGAATAGATGATGTCGCTGAGGGGCGTGTGGTTGATGGGGAAGCGCCGCGTTGGAGCTGGTTGACCCAATGTTGGCTGCTCACCCAATCCTAAGCGCGCTAAAACCCAACACGATTTTAGAGCAGGGAACGCTTCTTCGACGCCGCAATCACGACAATAAAGAATGCACCTTGTTTCTCAACATTTAATAATTCAATACGCGTGAAAAGACTTGAAAATCGACGTCGGAACAGAATTCAAGCAAGTTCGGCAACTTTTCGGGAGTCTCCTGACCGACTCTGGACTGCTATTCGAGCTCTCTTTTTTCCTTTGACAGCTCTTCCTGCCGCCTGTTCCTGCATGATCGACATGCGGCTCTAAAAGCTTAACGCCATTAGAGCTCGCTGGCATCTGTGGGGAAAGGAACCGCGCGCACGTACGCCACGTGCCAGGACGACTCCATCCTCGCAAGCCCCCCTGGACAGTGACGCCCGCAACGTTCCATGCTCAATACTGCTTCCATCCTTCAATGGCAATATATCTATTCCGTAATCATGGTTGTGCAAGTCTCTGCGAATTCATCCTGGCACTCTCATGTCAGCCATCGTGAACACACTACGAATTGACGTTAGGCTCTTGTAGAATGCATGGAAAAATATGATGAATAGAATGACTATACTGCTTTTCTGCAGAATGTGTAACGGAGTGCTTTTTGCTGGAGTAGTGTTGGTATGCATTTGGGTCTACTTGCACTTGTGTTGTAGTGCGACGAACATCGCAACCACCAAGCGCAGCACACCTCATCAGCGACGCCTACCGACGCTCCGGATCATCACATAACAATAACCATAAAATAAAACCATATGAACTATACTTTGAATTGCTATCGCAGTGAAGAAAAGCTCATGATGATCTGAACGTAGCTAAATATCCATGTGGCGCCCTGGTGAGGCTTCTTTTTTTCTTCTTTTCCTGTATCTTCAATTTGCCTTCTATAGCCACAGCGTGATACTATTATCGGTGCAGGCAGCTATGAGTCACGTTTCTCTCTTTCCATACAACAATTAAATGATTACCACTTTTATTTTGTGCTCCACCGACTACACGCCCTTGACGCTCTATACGCCCTATACGCTCTACACGCTGCCAGCACGTAGAGTCTCTGTCCCAAAGCTATGGGAAAGTCGGCACAAACACCTATGCTAGAGTATAATATTGTTATAAATTCATCTCCTTCGTGATTGAAACCTATCAGATAACATTCCACGCAATTCCATGTTGTTCATGTCCACTTGGCTTTGCCTCGGAGTTGTTCGCTACCATCCCACCTTGAGCTCTTGGAGAACGCAGAACCCCGCATTTCGGCCATAGCTCTCTCAAACGTCATAGGCTGCCGCAGTTCCGCTCAACACCCACTCCAAAGGTGATTAGCAATTGACGTCTAGACTCTGTAGGCGGACTAGACTTGCCCTAATAATTCCACGTGGGCCGTCTCAAGATTGGCCAAGTTCGTGGTATTTTATATCTTCTCTTCATCCCCACCAAAGATAGCAATGCGCTCTTTCGTTACTGCCACTCGATCACTTGCACGACAGCCAGCCTACAGGAATCGCTTCCAGAAGAGAAACTTGCCATCAATTGTTTCAAGAGGATACGCAAACATGGGACACTCAGTACCACCCGTATGCTAGCAGCTTCCATCAACGTTTGTCCTTGTCAGACTAACATCACCTACAGCTCAACGACAAGTCGCTGCTGAAGAATCAGACATATGTCAATGGAGAATGGATAGACGCAAAATCTGGCAAGACCTTCGAGGTCCATGGTAATTTTCCTGACTTCATTTGATATGAGCCCATTCTTATCATTGCGCAGATCCAGCAACAGGCAAACTCATTGGCACAATGCCTGAGATGGATCGCGCCGATACCGAAGCTGCCATCGCTGCTGCAGCCGCAGCCTTGCCTTCCTTCCGCAAAACTACCGGCCGCGAGCGCGCACGCATGCTACAGAAATGGTACCAGCTCATGATGGACAACGCAGAGGACCTGGCCAAACTCGTAACGTGGGAGAATGGAAAGCCAATAGCAGATGCAAAGGGAGAGGTCAACTACGCTGCGAGCTTTTATGAGTGGTTCGCGGAAGAAGCACCGCGCATCTATGGAACTACCATTCCAGCGACAGTTCCTGGAAACAGGGTGTTCACAATCAAGGAGCCGGTAGGCGTTGTTGGACTGATCACACCGTGAGTACTGAGACATGGTTGAAGCTATGGCCAGCGCGACTAACATGGATAGATGGAACTTCCCAGCAGCCATGATTACAAGGAAAATCGGTCCAGCACTAGCAGCTGGTTGTACAGTCGTAGCCAAGTCTCCTGGTGAGACTCCCTTTACCGCTGCTGCCCTGGCCGAGCTTGCACACCGCGCAGGAATACCAAAGGGCGTAGTCAACTTCGTAACGGCCCTCAAAAATACACCAGAAGTGGGTGAGACAATCACATCGAGCAAGATCATCAAGAAAGTTTCTTTCACGGGTTCCACAGGTGTAGGAAAGCTTCTGATGAAGCAGTCATCCGACACCCTAAAGAAACTGTCTTTTGAGCTGGGCGGAAACGCACCCTTCATCGTCTTCGATGACGCCGACCTCGAATCCGCCGTAGCCGGCGCCATCACATCCAAATTCCGCTCTTCAGGCCAGACATGTGTGTGCGCCAACAGAATCTACGTTCAATCCGGCATCTACGACGAATTCTGCACCAAGTTCACAGAAAAGGTCCAGAGTTTCAAGGTCGGCGGTGGATATGACGAAGGTGTTACACACGGTCCCCTCATCCACGACCGCGCCGTATCAAAAGTCGACGCACACGTCCAGGACGCCGTCAAGAACGGTGCCAAGGTCCTCCATGGCGGCCAGAAACTCCCAGATCTCGGTGCAAACTTTTATCAACCCACTGTCCTCCGTGACATGACCAAGGACATGCAACTTGCAAGGGACGAGACTTTTGGTCCTGTAGCAGGCCTCTTCCCCTTCGAGACTGAAGCCGATGTCGTTAAGCTTGCCAACGAGGCCGATGTGGGTCTTGCTGGATACTTCTTCAGCCGCGATATTCAGAGGGTTTACAGAGTCGCCGAGGCTTTGGAGGTAGGCATGGTTGGTGTCAATACTGGTCTCATTTCAGATGTCGCTTCACCTTTTGGTGGCGTCAAGGAATCTGGATTTGGACGGGAAGGAAGCCATATGGGTATTGATGAGTATGTTGTTACCAAGACCATTACCATGGGTGGAAATGGCCAGCCACTACAGGGCGAGTAAGGGAACTTGAATACAATAGTGATCATGTCGTAACAAGATAGAGAATTGAATGCATTGTGGAATTTGGGATCCCACCGAATATTCGCCTAGTATTGCCATATTTGTTGACAAGCGGGTGACTAGGTACTTCGTGGTTGTCAACTCCTGGTAACGCCGAGTGTTTACAACTGGTTATACTCGGGTGATTTCCGTCATTGCCCTTACACACATGTGATTTTCCATGCCTGCTAATCACCTCATAGCCGAACATTGTATGCAAAAGTCACACGTGAAAACCAGAACCTCAAGATCATCATTGAAAGTTGTTCATTTTCATGCCAGTTGACCCAGCACTATCGTTGGATACATACGTGAGGCGCCGAATGTAATGCCCCGCGCCATAACCCAGGAATGCTAGAAAAGACCCATGTCACCCAAAAACACCCTCTAGTACCTCTTTCCCTCACGGAGAATGTCGCTGTACTCCTCAAGTGGTGAGGGGCGGAGAGCGTTCTCTTTCCACAGGTTGGGAGTAAGGAAGCCGTAGGTGTGGGCGACGGCAACGAAGGTAGCCTTCAGGGTGTTCTCAAGAGTCTTGGTTGAACCGGAAGAGGCAGTGTAGATATCTTGGACACCAGCCAATTGCAAGAGACGCTTGACGGCGGGGGAGGCGACGAGGCCGGTACCGCGGGGAGCGGGGATGAGACGGACAGTGACGGAACCGCACTTTCCGCTCTCCTTGGTGGGGAGCGAGTGAGGCTCACCGAGGTTGGTACCCCAGTAACCTCTTCGGATGGGGACGACAGAGAGCTTGGCGATGATGATAGCGGCGCGGATGGCGGTCGCGACTTCCTTGGAGGTCTTGATACCGAGACCAACGTGACCCTCAGAGTCACCGATGACGACGATAGCCTTGAAGCGGGTACGCTGACCGGCACGGGTCTGCTTCTGGACGGGCTTGATCTTCATGACCTCGTCCTTGAGCTTGGGAAGGAAGAAGTCAACGACCTGGTACTCCTTGATGGGGAGAGAGTGGAGGTAGCTACACGCTGTCAGATAATTCTCTCGCATTTCCGTTGTCCAGTTCAACATACATCTCCTCCATGCTCTTGATCTTGCCAGCCTTTACGAGACGGCCGAGCTTGGTGACGGGCTGCCATTCCTTCTCCTGTGCCAATTGTCAATTTCCGGTAACATTTCCCTTCAACGGCTACGCTTGCGTACTTCAGACTTTCCGCCACGGCGGCCACGGCCACGTCCGCGACCACGTCCGCGGTCACCACCGCGGTCTCCACGAGAACCGAATCCGCCGCGAGCGGGGGCAGGAGCGTCAGCCATTTTGTATGTCGGGTGGGGTATACGGCTGCTGAATTTGGGATTAGCGATTTGACAGAGTAACAGGAGGGTTGGAAAGCGTACGATTTGGTGTTTCCTGGAGTTAGTACTGTTGTCGCGGAAGTCGAGGTCGCGAAATTGATGGAATTCGACCTCGTTTAGTCTGTGGGTAAAAGGACGCTAACCACATATAGATTGGCGCTAGTAGTGGATGCTCTGCCCATGGATGCATGTTGAACTTGAACTCAAACTAGACCAGTGGCGGCTCTATTTGAATACACTGACACTAATCATTCTAGCACTTATTGATGCATTGTTCATGCTGGCCATTTTGCTAAAGGATGAAAAATTGGAAAAGTCTGAATGTCGACGCTGGGTATGATGTAATTCCTTCAAATGCTTATTTGTTCAACAGGGCAAAATTCACAGCGTCCCACATGCTAGGCGGACTTGAATCGATTTTATGAAAGAGTGCTGTGCATAAATGTCGACGTGACATGCTGTCACTGCGGTTTACAAGTAAGTTGTGACAGTGCGGCTGACTAAGAGACTGTTAAATGCGCATGACTCGTTCACATGGCAATGGTAGCACATGTCTCACGCGAACAACACCAAGAACAAAACCTCAACAATCCAGCTACACCCATATCGCTTCTCAAATTACACTCTAATGACCAAGCATAATGTCTATCTTAAACTCAGTACTCGGCTCGCTCTCTCCACCCTCAGGATTTAGAAAGTCCTTCGAAGACCCGCACGCGCGCGAACATGAGCTACCATCATACAACTCCTCATCGCCTCCACGTATACCACCTCCCGTAACATCCTCGGTACTGTGGACCGCGCCAAAAGCAAACATTCCAATTCAACCTCGAATACCCGACGACTTGCTAGCTCTGCAACGGCGTGCGCGACACCTTGAACAACAGCTGCAAGAGCTGCTTGATGCGCAGGCGGATGGTTTGATGGCCGGCCTGGGGGCGGGAAGCAATATACCAGATGATTTGGTGTCAAACGGTAGTACCACACCCACTGTCAGCAGTGTCAGGTCTAGCGATAAAAGCGCAGATAATGGAGAGACATTGTCTAAACCCCGCCGTAAAAAGGTAGGACTGCAGGCGGCAAGACACGGCATATCCAGGCGCATGAAGCAACTCGCAAGCATCAAGGCTGAAGAGCTCGACTTATTAGATGAGGATTTGAGGAAAGTACAAAGCACAGTCGAGAAGACAGACGCATGGAGCCAGAAGCGCACACGACTCGAGAAGAAGATCCGAGAAATAGAGGGCCAGGACGCTGGCGCAAAGACGCGCAGTTTACAAACAGAGGCCTCAAAACTGGAACAAGAAATACGGCAGAAGGAAGAGGAGTTGTGGGCACTTAAGCGACGGCATCGACGAATATTGGATGAACTGGCCGATACTGAGAACTCAGTGGAAGCGAAGATAGCATCTTACAAGACATCACTGTCATTGCTAGATCGCGAAGTCTCGAGCTTTCTGGCGAGACCTGTAGATCCGAACCACGTACCTGTGTCATCCTCCCCATACCCTACGCTTCCCGCAAAACGGCGAACGCTTGAGATGGCACGCGAGTACTGGCAGGACGAATACACCAGGTTAGCTGAGAAATGCGAAGAGATCGATACAGATCGTGGGGCGCTTGACGAAGGAGCACTCCTATGGTCAGATGTAATGAAGAGAGTCGCGGACTATGAAACAAGCCTGCAAAACTATATGCAACAAGCGGGACGAAAGAATCCTCCTGAACCCTCCAAACTCCTTGAGCAAATGGACAAAACTATATCCTACCTGGAAGAGAAGCTGGAGCTTGCTTCTTCGCGAAGCTGGAATCTGTTGGTTTGTGCTATTGGGGCGGAGCTAGAGGCCTTCACACAAGGAAAAGACATGTTAGAAGAGGCTCTAGGGTTGAAGCGGAAGGGCAAAGAAAAGGCCACAGAGCCATTACTGGATCAAGATGGATTCCAAGCTGAGCAGTCTGAAGATATGACCGTATCAGCTATCCGAATCACTCAGTCTCCAAAGCCACCAACCCCGCCTAAGCAACAATACTTTGATTCGGAAGACGACGATCCTGATCCTGAGCTTTTGATTTCGCATCAGGATATTGATACATACTGAGTATATTCTTTGATAGCGGATCGATAGGTATTGCACGCCAGCTCGAGAAGCTTGAATACACTACTACTTTGCTACAGCCTTCATAACTTGATATGCCATTGGTAGTGATGTGCTGTTCCTACGTAGCTGTGACATTGGGGACTGGTCACCTTAAGCGCACCACTGCCAACGTAATAGTAATTTGAGAAATGGTCGAATGATACGCTACCCGAAAGCATGATTTGCAAATGTAAACCACGTCGACGTGAGGACGCGCTATGTTGGTACATATAGTATATCGATAAGGTGCTCGATTGGCGTCATCGGTGATAGGCCTTATCGCCGAGGTTAGTCTAGAGCTCCCGCTCACTACGATCGTCACCACCATGTTGCCTCGGCGCCACTTGCGATTCATTTCAGAGCTCAATCCGCCAACATGAATTCGTCTCAGGTTCCCACTAGTCCGCCTAGCGAACTTGACAATGCCAGGACCATCGTATACGATCCGAATGACCCGTTTTGGCGAGATACCGAGGATGATGATGATGACGACATGGACTTTCTGCCCGCAGAGGAAGGTCATGATGACGGTGAAGAAGGAGAAGGCGACTTAAGTTTTCATGGTATCTATTGTACAGTGCCCTATGATTGCGCTGCGGTTGCTAACATTATGCAAAGATGCTGCTGAGCGACTGAGTAATCTTAGTGGAGTTGAAATTGCATTTGAATACACCGATGACAATGATGAGGAAGAGGAGGAAGAGGAGGAAGAGGAAGAGGATGATGACGACGAAGATGAAGAAGATGATGAAAACGAAGAGGAGGAGGAAGACGATGTGGAACTTCCCCAACGACCAGTGATGATCACCCGCGACCAGATCATACAGTTACTTGGACACGCGGGACTAGGACGAATATTTGCCGCCGATTTTTCACAGCGCTCCCTGCTGCGGCGACGCAGACTCGACGATGAGGAAGAGGATGAGGATGAAGATGACGATAACAGCGACCCTGGCACTGGCTATGACCCCGTTGTTCCTACAGGGACCTCTGGTAGAAGGCGCCGCCCTCGTGGCAGGGACTTGCTGGAAAAAGTACCCAGTGAACAGGGCAGACAACTGATGGAGACGGGTACCTTTGGATCAAATCCTCGAAGAGAGGATACGATCAAGAGGAAAAAGAGGTTGGCCTACGATATCATGAGGCGAGAGTTGGGTATTGGTAGTGACGGACGACAGAAGAACGCTACAAGGCTTTTGAAGCAAGACATGATACCCGAATCAGTTGCTGATACCATTATTCACTATAACGCACGGTGCTACTCGGGACAGTTCTCAGATGACGGCAATTTTTTCTTTTCCTGCGCACAGGACTTCAAAGTGCGCATGTATGATACCTCGAACCCCTACGATTGGAAATACTACAAGGTAAGCAGCGAAACTACAATTTGGGAGCAACAAGGTTGATTGGTTACAGACTGTGAGATACCATGGGGGACAGTGGACAATCACAGACGCCTCACTTAGCCCCGACAACCGATTTCTGGCTTACAGCTCAATCAGAAGTATCGTGAGCCTAGCACCTACAGATCCTGAAGACGACTCGGAACCTCACATGCTCGACTTCAACAACATGGGTACATCGAATCCACGGGGCTTCCATTCCCACTTTGGTGTAAGTCAGAGTAAGATTGGATATGTAGCATTTGCTGATGGGGATTAGATATGGTCAATACGTTTTTCAGGCGACGGTCGCGAAATTGTAGCTGGAACTGGAGATAGCGCGGTATATGTCTATGACATTGAGCGAAGGCAATCAGTCCTTCGCATACCAGGTCATCATGATGATGTCAACGCAGTCTGTTTTGGCGATACTCAATCACCGCATATCCTTTACTCTGGATCCGACGACACGACGCTCAAGGTGTGGGACCGGAGAAGTATGGGAGATGGCCGAGAAGCTGGTGTTTTCTTTGGTCATACCGAAGGCCTGACATATGTCGACAGCAAAGGAGATGGTCGATATGTGCTCAGTAACGGAAAAGACCAGACTGCAAAGTTGTGGGATTTGAGAAAAATGGTGTCCAAAGAGAAAGCTGATACCATTGATCCATACAGATACACGACGCGCTTTGAGTATCGATCCAACGGCTACGACTATGACGACTTCCGTCCACATCCGCACGACTGTTCGCTTGTCACTTTCCGCGGGCACAAGGTCTTGAAGACATTGATTCGATGTCACTTTTCGCCTCCTGGTAGTACGGACTCGCGATATGTGTACTCGGGTAGCTACGACGGTTCGGTGTACATTTGGAACATGGATGCTACGCTTGCTGGAAAGGTCAATGTGCTGAAAGCAACAAAGAATTCACGACCGCGGGATCCAGATCTACTTGCAGGGACTTATGACTACTGGGGTCGGAATGAGGGCAAGTGGATGACGTGTGTTCGTGATGCGAGCTGGCATCCCAATGCGCCCATGATTGCAGGTGAGTTTCTATGGCTATGGTTGATTGTTATGTGAGTATTCGCTAACAAACATGTAGCGACATCTTGGAACGGCTGGGGTACCTCGCAAGGAACATGCACAGTTCACACGTGGAATGATGGTGTTGAGGATGATGAAGCGGAACCCAAGGTTGGCCGCCGTGTCAATGCACAACTACAGCATGACGAGCGGCTGTACAAGAGTCACGAGGGCCGGTCGAGAAGACATCCGGTTTGGTACGAGGACATGATGGACGATGATTGAGCGTGCTGTATGACTTGCTTGCGCAGACTCCCTGTACTTGCATGTTATTCAGGTTGATGCATCTCTGTGCGTGTCATCTTGTCCATGTTGATTTGAATATGGGCGTCGATTGAAGGGGCTTTGAGGATGGCGTGACTGGAACTCTCATCTTCGCATACTATAGCTTCTTTATACCAACTATATTGAAGGCGATGTATTGTCACCTCACACACGTGTCAAGGATGCAGACATTAGAAGTTTAGTTTGCAAAATGTAGATGTGGATATAATCAAACTCCCGCTGACCCAATGTCGGTATTGTACAGCCCTATGCCATAGATATGTCATGTCCAATAGCCCAGCGTCCAAACTCGTAACGTGGCCTTTTCTGCCCTTAGTCGCCAAGCACAACTATAAAATGGATACGGCAAACGAGTCGGTCGTATGGCCGAGGGAAAGTAAATGGATGCTCTTTGGCGTGAGGGGTGGTAATTTATGAGCCGCCGACGAGGATATTGTTGACGGGAATGTGGACAAGCTTGACGACGTAGCCAATGACGCCTGTAAGAATGGGTTAGATGATTGCGACGCGGAGGGATGCTGTGGCGGGAGACGGTGCTACTGACCCATGATCAAGAAACCGATTCCGACGGCCTGCGATATCCTGATGAACTCCTTCTTGTCGGGCTCTGTAGTATGGTCAGTGGCCAATTGCGATGAGAATGAAGGGCCAGAGGGTCGTACTGGTGCAGCGGTTCATGAAGAGGGTACCCTCCTTGAGGAACTCAGCGGGCATACTGCGCCGTATTGTTAGTCCGTCGTAAGCCCACGTTATGTGTGCGCCGGGGCATTGCGTACTCGGCAAACTCTTTGATGTTCTCCATGGCGACTGATGTGCGATTGTGATACGAGAAGGGTTGTTCGAAAGGATTGTTCGGTGGGATCAAAGTATCGTGGATGGGAGAGGTCGCGACTTAGCGGATGGGAGCGTAAATTGCCAGCCGGCGGACGAGGGCAATCTGGCCTTGCGGAGAAAGCGAACAGGGGTTGGCGGGCTGCCAAGCACGCTACTGGCAGCGCTAGCGGCTTGAGCTATCGCATCCACGTCCTCGTCCCTCACGTCCATCCTCACTCGCGCCGACACTGCTCGAATCCGTCAAGTCTTGTCAGGTTTGTTGCCCAGGCCAACACTCACTACTACTGAACAGATCGCCATCCGATACCACAGGCCCGACGGTCGCAGTCTGGCTCTTTGCATCGCCGCCACACATCGCGCGGAAGACCAAAAGGGAGCGCGCTGGGGTTGCTGCACGTACTAACTGAAGCTCACCCTTACTTTTGTCCATCTCTTCTTCTCATTACTCGCAGCGCACCATCTTGCGCTGCGTCAATTCTCAAGGGCTTTGTACACTGCAGCGGCGCTACAAGCACACACTGTACTGGAGGCGGGCAAAGCAAGCGCAGGAGGCTGGCTGAGGCATTACACTACTTGACACTACTCTATCCCACATCTCTCTCACCATATCCTGTACCTTTTACATCTCCGCATCTGCCAGAGGCGATCGGATTATCCCTTCTTGCTCTGAACGGTCCTTTTAGACCTTGTCACTACGCCGGCTGCGGCACTGTACGTATGGCCTTATTCTACGCTGTTTATTCTTTTGTACCGCCATCGCCCAGCGACGCACTGCAGGCGCCTTATTTTCTTTGCAACACTCCCTTGTCTTATCATGCTGATTTGTATGCCAATCACAGAATTGCATGTACTTTGGCTATTGATACTAGCACATCAAGTACCTAAGAGCGAATCAAAAGAGAATACCGGAAACTACCTCATCGCTTACTGCAGTTGACTTGACATATCACAGCAAACATGGCTGACGACGACAACTTCGACATCGACATCTACGGAGATGACTCGTACCAAGATTCGACCGCCCAGCATGATACCACTGTAACCGACGCCAATGCCCCAAATGCAGAGGCCAATGCAGCCAACGCAAATGACTCACAAGAGAACACGGCTACCGAAATGGGAGATCAGACGGCCAACAACAAAGGTCCTGGTGAAGCAACCAACGGAAACGGCCACCACGATCAGAGCACACAACAGATTGCATCCACAGGAGGTGCATCCGGCCTCGATGTTCACAAGCAGGCACCTCAGCAGCAGGGCACCAAGCGAAAGCAAGGCGAGGATGATGACCGCCCCACCGACCCAGGTGCTACAGCCGCTTTGATGATCAACGACGTCAACTGGTGGATTAGCGAAGAGGATATTCGCGGATGGGCTAATCAAAGTGGTTGTGAAGATGAGCTCATTGAAGTCACCTTTAATGAGCACAAGGTCAATGGAAAGAGCAAAGGGTTGGTTTCCTGCGGATATTAGAGTGACTTGTTACTGATATCTCTTGCAGTCAGGTTTTTACCCTACTGAACTCACCGCAAGCAGCTACTGCTCTCAAGCACCAGATCGAGACCCTATTCAAAGACCAAGCCCATACTAAGAAACCGACCGCCATCTTCAGTCCCCCACACGTCAACCCGTTCAAGACACTACCAAAGGACGTACCCGCGCGAGATAAGGGCAGAAATGATCGTGCTTCGTCTGGTAACTTTGGTGGCCAGGGTGGCGGTTTTAACAACAGAGGCGGGTATAACAACAACAATCGAGGAAACTTCAATAGAGGCGGCGGCATGGGCTACCAGAACAACCGCAACTTCTCGCCTGCTGGTGGCAACATGGGAGGCAACATGGGAGGCAACATGGGAGGCTATGGCGCACAGGCTCCGATGAACAACTTTGGCAACCCCATGGGAAGCATGAGCAACTTTGGAGGCAACTTCAACCGCGGCGGTATGATGGGTGGTAATATGCGAGGCGGCATGGGCAACCGTGGCCGTGGCGGCAGCATGGGCATGAACGCCATGGGCGGAGCTCCTATGGGTGGCATGAATATGCCAATGGGCGGCAACATGATGGGTATGGGTGCCAATATGATGGGTATGGGTGGTGGCAACATGGGTATGATGGGAGGAATGGGTATGTTGAGAGACTCTCATATTAGTGACTTAACCCCGGACTTGTTGTTTCATGTCTTGAACACTGGCTAACGCTACTTTTGCAGGAGGTGGCTTTGGCGGCAGCCCAGGCTTCAATCCAGGATTCTTTCAAGGCCAGGGCGGTAACGATGGCAGTTGGCAAAACCCACACGGCGCTAAGAGGCCACGTCCTGAGTAGTTCCTAACATGGAACTTTTACATTCCGCGCCTTCGGCCTTTCTATGGGATCGGCATACATACATATGACGAGACCCACTTTCAATCGACGCGTTGATCTATAACGCATATCGACTTGCATGCATACACGAGACGAAACGAAGCCAACCGTTTTCGGGATGCAAACAACCATTTTCCTATCGGAACGAAGACACTCGATGTTCCCGACTCATCTTTTTCTAGGTTCCTCAATAGCATATGTCAGGGAATGGCTTTTTTTTCCTCTTGTATCGCTTTTTTTCGAGTTCCTTGCAAGCGGTGCACGCAACAAAATGGCGACATATTTTCACAGTTCTGTTCGAATAATCATTTCGGCGTTTTTTGGTAGGGGTTTGGCAGGTCCTTTTTTCTTCGTCAAAGAATTGATTCTTTTTTTTCTTCGTCTATGTCCTTGGTAGCTTTTTCTTATTTTCCTCCGTCTGGTTACTTAGTCTTGCATACAAGGTATATCTTTTAGCACGGTGTCATGGTGTTTGTTCGCTCTCTGGAATGCGACATAACATGAACTCTATCATTGTTTTACAAAGACAAGATATTGTAATTCTAGAGCGACATGACGTGTTTGCAGTATGCATAGTCCTTTCTGGATATTACGGAAACCTCTCATGTATTACTAGTGTAGAAAATATGAAGGGGAAAAAAAAGGGAAAAATCGATAAACTGTTGCGCGAGAAGTATTCCCGCCAATGTACACTAAACGTTGCAGCAGTCTAGAAGAAGAGGACAAAACTCCCTCATTGTCGTGACCTCCCCTTCCAACACCAAAAACTGCGCTGTCTTTGGTGGAAAAACAGCAGACCAAACCAAAAAATACCCCAAGTTACCCTGATTTCATCTGGAAAATAGGCCCGGCTTCGGGGACCTGCGCATATGAAGCATGCAATATAGATGGGGCGAACCCTTATTAAATCATCCCTAATATGTACCTGCACCACGACCAATCGCCTCTTCGCACCTATCCGCTTTCCGACCCGGGTTTCCATCACACCAGAGCTGCAGCGACCAGAAACAAAGTTTCTAGAAACAATTTCGGCCAAAGCGGCGAAGCGGTGGGATGGGGTAATATGGGAGGGCAGAAGGCTTAATTGAGGGGGAGGGGCGCCTCATGACGCTAATCAGAGCGGGTTTGGTGGACAAAGGGACTTCATCTATTTTGAAGTTGTATAGTGCGGTTATTTGAGGGGATATGATGGTGCGATGAGGGTGTCGAGAGTGTATATATTTTGGGTTGTTTTCTCCCCTGGGTTCATAATATGTGAGTAGTGCTAAGCAGAGGTTTTGTACGTGTCTTGGCAGATTCTCGCCCGACATGAAGATTACACATTCGAGTGCAGCGGTACTTCTGCTTAACGGCGCTTTTGCCGTTGCCCAAGGTATGTAATTTATTTTCCTGAGAACGAAGGGTGGTTTTGCGTTGTTGGGAAATGGAGAGATTTTGTGCTAACGAGCTAGAAAGCAACGAACGGTTCAACTGGAGTCGTATGCCCTTCCACCTCGAAATTCACTCCACTCTCAGCCGGAACATTTTTCGCAAAACTGAATCCAGGCTGGAATGTTGGCAATACTTTGGATGCGGTGGAAAATGAAGGGGATTGGAATAATAAACCCGTGGAACCCGTCACTTTCGACGATGTGAAACGAGCCGGTTTTAAGAGTGTGAGGATCCCAGTAACATGGGCATATCATTTCACTTCACAAGCACCGGACTGGACGGTGGATCCGGTATGGCTTCAGCGAGTATCAGACGTCATCGACCAAGTGACTTCACGCGGCCTTTATGCCATAGTGAATGTTCACCACGACTCCTGGACTTGGGCAGACTTGACCTCAGCGAGCACTAACGTGACAGCCTTAGAAGAACGCTTCAGTAAACTCTGGTTTCAGATTGGGACTAAGCTGGCCTGCAAGAGCGAGATGTTGGCATTCGAGCCGATCAATGAAATCCCGGGGACTACACCTGAACACGGTGCAATTGTGAATCGTCTAAATGACATCTTCTTGCAGAAGATCAATGAGGCGGGGGGTCATAATTCAAAGAGAGTTGTTACTTTGGTTGGAGCGGGCGAGGATGGAGTGAAGACGAGTCTGTGGTTTAAGAAGCCGGATCAAAAGTTTAAGAATCCCTGGGGTATTCAATTCCATTACTACAGCCCTTACGATTACGTCTTTCAAGCATGGGGCAAGACGACATGGGGCTCCGAAGCCGACAAGGCCTCTCTCGAAGGCGATCTCGCTGCCGTACGGTCAAACTTCACGGATGTCCCAATTGTCATCGGGGAGTGGGCCGTATCACCTGTAGCTACAGAGACAGCTGCAAGATGGCGTTACTTTGACTTTTTCGTGCGTACCGCCGGAAAGTACAACATGTCGACGATTTTGTGGGACAATGGTGCAGACCTGTTAAATAGGGCCACCCATCTCTGGAGGGACGAAGTGGCCATGGATATCTTCCGCAATGCCATAAAAGGTATCCCAAATGCGTTGCCAGACAGCACTACAGATGGCTCTGTCACTACGCAGCAAAGCTCAGCCTACATCTACCACGCGAAGAACGAGACTGTTAAGGATGTGACGTTGAGCTTCAGCTTCAACGGTAATACGCTGAGCAAGATCAGCAAGGGAAGCAGACAACTTGCCAAAGGAAAGGACTACACCCTTTCAGGCCAAAACATCACCTTTCAAGCCGCGTACCTAAGCACTATCATCACGCCCTCTTCTCCGACAGGCAGTCTAACAAACCTCACTCTGACGTTCAATCGTGGTGCTGCGCTGCAAGTAAACGTACTCCAGTACTCCACACCCGTGCTATCAAGCACCTCCGGCCCGCTGCCAGCCGCAGGCCAAGATCTACGCATCCCCGTCACATGGGCTGGCATCAACAGGCCCGCGGCAGTCAAGGCGCAGAAGTCAGATGGCACATACCTCGTCGATGATTGGACCCAGTACCTTGGGCCTCTCCAGCAAGGTCGTATGACCTATGGCAATCAGTGGGATTGGGATGCTAACAATGTCATTATTAAGGCAGCGGCGGTAGATGCTGTGAGGGCTGCGGGAAAGGATACTACGTTAACAATCGAATTCTACCCGAGGCAGCCAGGGAATAACGTTGTTTATACTCTCAAGGTGTGAAGGGGGTTTGTGGGGTGCGAGGTGGAGAGATGAAACGGGAATGTATAGATGGGCTTGAGGTGCCTAGATACACGAATAGATCGCTCGTTCTATGCAACTGACATGACGTTGTTTTGAGTGTTTAAGTTCTATTGGCAAATTCTAGAGATCTTGTAAGTATGCTGTACGATTGGCTACGAGTAGACATGAGGGATTGTTCACTTGGAGGATGAACGTTGAAGGGAAGAGGCTGGAGTTCAAGAAACCACTGATCATATGCACAAATCGAACACATTATGTCTCAACATAAAACAAATATGCGCCATTTTGCTCGCAGGATGAGCGTACTCCACTATGGACATGTCCACAACTGCCTTTAAGTTGCCTAGCGCTCGAGTCAGCAGCCCTTTCCGAGGTGGAACTCCGCAAGCTTAGCAATGCTCGCAATTCCTCGAGGTTATCAAACAATATATATAATCGACAAGTAGCAATGAGCGCATTCAGAATTCAGTATTCAAATCACCGAGTTCTTATTTCGTTAAACGAGCCAAACGTAAAAGACACAGTCAATTATTTCTAAGCAAAGATGCCCAACGATCCCATATCGCTCGCCACTCTCTCCACTCTCCCCTCCACCTACGACCCCAACAAACCAGTCTATATGCTCAACCTCTGGAAATACCGAAAAGAGGCCTCCTACCTTCCAGAGCATGCGCACCTCGCCGGCGATGCATGCACAGGCCAAGAAGCTTTGGGACGCTACCGCACTGCCATTGCCCCATTACTTCCACCCAACACTAGTGTCATCTTCAGCAGCACCGTGTTGGCTAAGATTCTTGTCGCAGAAAACGAAGACTGGGATTTTGTCGCGATTCTCAGGTATGAGACTCTAGAGGGGTTTAAGAAAGCTATCGAAAGTAAAGAGTACAGGGAGGAGGTGGAACCGCATAGATTGGCGGGGTTGGAGGACGGTAGGTTGATTGCGCTGGATAAGCTTGAGTAGCAGAGGGGTTTGTAAGCTAAGGGGAGGTGGCTTTGTCAAATATATGATAGAAACATATTTCACAAAAACGAAACAACTTTTCAACATGCATGAGCCCAGTTGCCAGAATGTCAATTTGGACTTCTTGTAACCAAAGCATGATCATCAAGGAAAAGGACCACTTCGACCCGGCGGTGCAGATCAATTCAATAGATATAGCGAACAATAGTACATGGGCCAAGATGACTCATAATCATGATACGCTTGTATACACGTGAGAAGGATTCGCGCCCATGTTGTCGTCTCCGTCCATGGTGCTACTTAGTCGCTACTACTACGCACGGCCCTGCATACGTACGTACCTTCTTAGCGCTCCCGTAAGTAACCAAGGCCACCCCCCCACACCCGAGTATCCACCGACGTGTTCCCCATTAATACTCGTCAGCATCCGATACTCCAGGAATGCGATGAGGACCTGTGTTGGGTCTCTCTCCGACCCAGAAAATGCGCCGTCCACCGGAAGCTCACTACAGCTTTCCGATACCCTCGATACACGATGACACAACGCTCGATTGTCGCATATATCAACCTGATGCTCTACTGCGGCCGGACAACCCCGATGATATAGCAAAATGGACCAGGAAAGGGATAGTTATGGCACATCCATACGCACCCATGGGCGGAAGCTTTGATGATCGCATAGTCGGGATCGTAATCGACGAGTTCTTGAATGCTGGCTTCATCGTCGGTGTATTCAATTTTCGGTAAGTAGGCCCTTGCACGCGGACCCCGAGCATACAGCCATTTACTCACCTATCACAGAGGAGCACATGGATCCAAAGGCCGAACGAGCTGGACAGGGAAACCCGAATTAGACGACTACATTTCTTTCGCAGCATTCTTCATGCACTACATTTCTAATCTACAGCCTTCTTTACCACATAATCTCTTGGCGTTGGAGCAATCCCCAATGTCCCCGACCTTCAGTGAATCAGCGCCGATGCAGAGCGACGTTTGCCCTCTGGTTGTGCTGGGAGGCTACTCTTACGGATCCCTCATTCTCCGGAATCTACCACCTGTGCCAACCATTCTACAGCCATTTGCTGCTCCACGGGAAGGCTCGGCAGCAGAAGAAATTGTACTTCGTGCCCGCAAATTGGCAGATCAAAGCAATATGGAATGGGTCGCACTGGCTCGAGATGAAACCCGAGCTAGAAGGAAGAACCGAGCGACGCACAACACACGCCCTTCAATTACAATGGGCGGAGAAGAGACCAGTCCGGGTAAGAGGAGAAGTAGTAGAGAAGTGAGACGAAGTCTGGAGGGGAGCTCTCGCCTGGAAATACGTACACGATTAAGGAGCCTAAGCCACAGAAGGCGTGACAATGCCGAAGCCACGACGCCGACGAAGGTGGAAAGCACAAATTTTACCGTGCCTGATGTCCGGTATCTTCTCATCTCGCCCCTGACGCCGCCTTTGTCTTCGCTAGCCGCCCCAGCTTTAATGCACAAGTTTTGGGGTAGGTCCAAGGATGATCACCAGGAGACGGTTGGCAAGCATGTGGCCCTGGCCATTTACGGGGACCAGGATATCTTTGCATCAGCCAAGAAGCTCCGTGACTGGGCTGAGCAGCTTAAAGCTAGTCCAGGATCGCGTTTCCGTAGTATAGAGGTCGCGGGTGCGGGCCACTTTTGGGTAGAGCAAGGTGTGGAAGAGAAGTTGAGGGTAGCCATGAGGGAATGGATTGTGGATATGTGAAGCGTAGAGCATGAATCAAATTAGATCTTTGATAGTGCCCCCTGCTCTTGGCTCTAAACGTGGATTTCTTGACTAGTAGCATCCTTCGAAGAGCTGCACGCACATATCGCCCACAACCGCTTCAGAATCAACAAGCATATCCAATAACTGAAGAATGATTCAGCAACAAAACCAATTCCCTTTCAACTTCTGAACCACAAAATGGAGTTTCTAAGTTTCAGTACTGAAGAAGTTTTCTTGAAATTTGCTCCTTGATTGACTCCTGTGAAACCAATTTCCGAGCCAAATCCTGTATCCAACCACTTCAGATAACGTGTATATAATTGTATACAAACTACTACGATAAGAAGCGATGCCCAAAATATCTCAGTCACACAACCTGAACCTGGCTATCGATCGACGCGGTCACCCGGATTTACTCAGGACACCATGTCCTTGTGGTATGGAACCTCCCATTTCTGAACGTCTTCGTAGTGCACTGCCAATATCCCCAGTCACCTGTCAAATCTCTCTCCTTAGTGAATATAATTAGAAGATATCAGACTTCACGTCTGGCGACCCTGACACGCTTTGGGTGTGGCTTAGGACTTGGACATCGCTCGGCACGCTTTGGTCTAGAATCGGGACTCGGGGATTGTTCTCTTTCTGCGCTATGAAGAGTTATTATACACCCACGAGAGACCCATGAAACAGCTGCGGACTTACTCTCGATGGAGGTTGGCGTTCTTGATGCGCCGCTCTGATCATAGACATGGGACTTGATAACGGTTCTCGGTTTATACTACAAAGAGTTAGTATACACCTATAAGAAACTGACCAAACGGATTTGGGCTTACTCATAAAGATATGAGATTTGTCTTTAGGTGATGGGTAGTTCTAGTGTATTAACCATGGTTGTGGCTGTGGCCAGTCATATTGCTGGCTATTGCCACTCTGTGTTGAGTGCTGCATGGTTGTGACTGGTTTGCTTGTATGGTTCTTGTGAAAAAGTGGGAGATAGGATGGATTTTTTAGATCTCTGAGGGATATGGGCTAAGTGGTATGCACGCTGGGCTTTATCTAGTAGGCACCGCTATACCAGCAGTGACTTCTACGCAACATCTGAGAACTGCCCTTTCCATTTGTAGTAGGCGGCTGAAGACAGCTAAACAGCTAGAGAAGAAATTGCTCCCGGACATATCCGCAGGTGCGCATCGTGCAAGAAGAAGGGCATCTGGGCCGATAGTAGCGGGACCCTTGAAGCATATCGAGAGCCAACTTGCAAAGGACAAATGCGAAGATCTTGATAAAGCTTCATCGCACCTGGCCACTTCAATGAACCAGTTGAATGCTCTAGGTGCTCAGGAATAGAATCGAAGAGAACATTGATTCATACTGTATTAAAGTTATTTTAGGTAGAACGTGGTTTGGAGCAAGGCAATTGTAGCGGGCATCGAGAATGACGTTGAGAGTGAGAAGGAAGGCGAGAGAGGGAATGACGCTAACAACGCGAAGTAGCGTTAGATGGCAACAGCAGTAGGGACGGTTGTCAAGAACTAATTGCAAGAAAAAGGGGTCACCTTTCGAATTCCGAGAAAATCTGCATCATGCGCTACCAAGCTTATTGTAGTAATTTGTGTGAGCGGCAATTTCTACATTAGGGCACGGTCCGTTACAAGCACGGTAGCGGTAAGGCAATGCAACGAAGAATGGACACGAAGGCTTCTGCGAAGATACCCTCTGTTTCTTTTTGTCGTAGTAGATGAATGGAAATGGGCACCTGGCATATATCTAATCATGGAGTGTCTAGTGAAGGTTACGGTTATGCGTCTTATTTCAATACACTAGGATATAAGAAACTAATGCAGTTTTGGCTACATATTACGATCAGTCGCTAGACGGATTTTCAAGTAAATGACGTAACCATGGCATTTATATAGCGCATATATGGTCTGGATGCAGCAATCGCCAAGAGGTTCACGATGGGTTCGGGGTGGTGGTTTCGGTTGGCGTGGTGCATGAGGCGTACGTCAGCGGTCACAGCCACACCAGAAGCAGCCACGCCACGCGTCCTCGACGCATTTGAGGTCCCTACGATAGCGTCGTTCCTCTCCCATCGTGCCGCAACGCGTGTGCCCCTTGAAATATTACCAATTACCCGTATTTTTAGAAGCCCCTCTAGATGTACTACAACATGTTGGCCTGATAGTGTTTGGACTCACCCGGCCGAGCCTATCGCCATGCACACCGTCCACGACTTCATATCAGCACTTCTTCCACCACCCAATCCGGAAAGATCGGCCTGGGTCCATGCCTTGACTAAACTTTTATTTCGGCCATATCTAAGCATAGCGCCCGCAAAACAGGAGACGTCGCCACCATGCAGCGACCCAGGACATCTTCGCAATTGTCGCCAGACCACAACTCTTTCCGGTACCGCCCCTTGAGTCACACCGATGGCGAGGACTTTCGCATTCTATGCCTCTACCCCGGCACGCTTGACGACCCAATTCGCTGTGACCTTCTCCATTCAAGTCTCGACTCCGACATTGAGTACGAAGCACTTTCCTACAGCTGGGCAACCGAAGATGGAGACGACAGCCTCTCGCAGCGCATTGGCTGCGCATATGTAGGCGATGAAGACAGTGCGGAATTCCCGGTAACTTCAAACTGTGCTTCTGCACTGCGCAGATTGAGACTGCCCTCTCAGGAGAGATTCTTGTGGATCGATGCCATTTCTATTAACCATAGCAATATCGAAGAGCGAAATCACCAGGCCGGGCTCATGGCCGACATATATGCTGGGGCCTCGCAGGTCCTGGTGTACCTCGGAGAAGAAGACCTTGGCTTCGCATCCAGGAGCCTATGGCTGGACACCGAGAGACGCCAATCAGCCCTGACAAAGCTTTTTGCAAAGAGATGGGTTTCCAGAGCATGGGTGATTCAGGAGGTGGCACTCGCACGAAAACTCATGATGATCATGGGAGACGCATCATGTGCCATGGATGCCAATCTGATGAGTCGGATCCGCGGGCGAGCAAAGATTTCACGACTGCAAGTTCCTGGTCCGCTAGCTTGGGATCCTTTGGCTAGCGCCCCGACAAGAGATCTACTCACATTACTACTTTTATCACGACATTGCAGCTCTACAGATCCAAGAGACAAAGTATACAGCTTGCTGGGACTAGTGGGCGAACGCCTGCAAAATCTCATCACTATCGACTACTCCCAAAGCATCGAGGAGGTCTTGGTGCGTACGGCTGCAGCCATCATCACCTGTCGAGAGGACTTTGAGCTTCTGGCGTATGCATCATTATCTCTCGGACCTCGGCATACAGAAAAGGGGTTACCGACTTGGGTGCCAGATTGGACAGAGCATCAAGGCGACATGACGCTGCGTCCTCAATTCCAAGAAACTAGAATAGGCCCCTGGCGGTCTCTCGAAAAGCTATCCGGAAGTTCTTCTAGCGCTGCAGAGCTAGCCAAGATGGATTGGACAACAATAGTCGACATACCTTCAAGGTGGCCTATTGATCCATATTTGACACCATCTATCACCGTCCGTGCACATTGTCTTGCAACTATTGACAGCACGACAAAAGAAGGATATGGCCCATCAGCACGATGGCTAGATGGTCAAACCTTTGGTCGTGATCTAATAGGTTTGATAAGCAGCGGCTCAAGTCGAACAAGTCTCGATCCAAGAACATGGCCTGCACAGTACAACTGGCTACTCGATCCGTCATACACTCGCTCCATATCTTCCATAATGCAAAGTAATACATCGTCTGCCATGGGACCTCCTGAGAATATATACCGGAACGCAATACAGCATTTCTGCGCCAAGCTCGAAGCACACGGCAAAAACCAGCACATTTTCCGAGCAGGCATGCTTCCCGCCGTAACAAGCCACGAGTTTGAAGAAGGCGACAGCGTATGGGCCATAGACGGCTGCAGGATCCCTCTTATTCTGAGAAGGACGCATGATTCTGAGGGCTACTGGATTGTAGGCAATTGCCATATCTTTGCACTATCACATATGGACTGCTGGTCTACGTCAGGAACGGGGCTCGAGCAACGGTGGAGTTTTGACCCCTTTCGCCACATGGATGCGCTAGGCACGCAAAGAATAAAGATTGTGTGATTGTTTAGAGAAACGGTTATGCTGGCTTGTTCAAGACCTTTTTGCTTTTAACCCTGTGAAGTCGATGATTGCCTTCTTGTTCGAGCACGTTACTGCCTTTGTTTCTAACCGTGCATCTTTCGCCTGCATATCAACCTCCATTAGCTTTGTTCAACTCGATTCATACATTGTTCCTCCAGATAATATTTCATATTAGCGACTTTGCTGACAAGATATGTTTCAATAGAAGATCTATCAACTGCGCGCGCCTTTGTTTCTCGTCCAGTACACTATCATATCATCAGCATTGTTCCAAGCGACTCGTCAAGTCCATCACCTCCTAGCAGCGAGAAAAAATAACAATAAAAGGAGTCAGGACTATTATATTCAACTATCTAATCTACTCCACCCAACTCACCCCCTCTTCTTCCCCCTCCACCTTTCCAAAAACCTCTCTACAGTCCTCATCTCCCACAAATGCGCCTCCCGCATAAACTGCGGTTCCTTGTCCACATCCCCAATCCCCTCCCCATCCCACACGTGGCCCCCATCCACAATCAGATAGCTCGGATGGTCATCACTGCTCACCCGTACCCCATCCAGCAACGTAGAATGGTAGCATTGGTCGAGCCACACGTCTGCCGCGCCGTCGATGAACGCAAGGTTCTTGACGCGCATGTTGGAGGCGCCATAGACGTTGTTGTATTCAATCTCTGGGAGAGGCGGGATGCGTGTGTAGGTTCCTGGAGGGAACGATTCGTTGCACCAGCCTTGGTTGTAATCCACAGTTAGAACCCGCGAGATCAGGGAGGGACCCGTGCGAGGCGCGGTTTGATAAGCGGCGATTTCCGTGCAAGTGGAGTAGAGGTAGGAGCGGGTATTTGAATTTGTGGGGTCGGCGTAGAAAGTCGTGTTTTGGGTGCTGAAGCAGCCGTAGTCTGTACTGTTGATGCGGCCCGTGGTGCAGAAGGGCAGGATGACGTTCTTGATGTAGGCGGCGTAGTTGCCGAGGCCGGTCCAGGGCTCGCCGTGGGAATGGGTGGAGAGGGCCGTGTCGATGTCGAGGTGCGCGGCTGGTGGGGAGGGGTTTGTGATGTTTGAGCAGAAGTGCTAGAAGTCGTTGGAGTTGGCGTGGGGAACCCAGTTGATCTCTTGCCAGGTGCCTGTTGGGTAGGTCAAGGGACCGCCGAGGGGGAAGGCGATGGTGGAGGCGAAGTCCCCGAGACTGGAGAGGGAGCCGAGGCCGAAGATGTCTTTGAGTTTTTGGATGGCGGCGGTGTTGCCGCTCTCAATTAGGGCGTCCATCTTGTCGATTATGGAGATGATGCGGGGAGATGCAGTCTGAAGGACCGAACTTCATCAGTGGCTTGTACCAGTTGGGATACTCGATTTGGACCGTGATTGTGGCACTGCTACCGATGCCGCCGGCAAAGATTTCGTTGTACATTTTCATCGTGAAGGCTACCTGTGAGCCGGCAAGAGAGCCACCATACATGACCCAGGGTGTGTCGGGACTGCTCAGATCCGCATCAATGCCTGGAAACTTGACGTGCTGTCGAAAGTACTTATTGTCGGCAATGGCTACCACAAATTAGTTTTTCATCGAAAAATAAAATAAAATATCAAAGACTCTCCACTTACTTTGCCCAGTAGTTAAGAACCTCAATTCATCCGTGGTAGTAGTGTTATACGGGAAACTTTTGCCATAATACCGATTCTCAAGAACAACCCCAAGCCCATCGAACTTTTTCATCAGAATTTGTATAACTAAATTCACGTCTCGTTAGCCCCGACGGTACACGTCTACAAGCTTGTTTGAATGCACATGAACTCACTTCCCGTTTGTAAATTTTCAAGCTGCCACTCCCCCCCATGTCTCGCCAGCAAGATACAAGAAAACCGGACCGCCAGGCTTATAATATGATTTGTCAAAGACTGTTCGGGGCAAACAAAACATCAGCTCTCTCGCTTTATTTTACTCCGTTGTGCTTAGATAGGGTAAAATGCTTACAATATCTCTGTTTAAACGTCTTATTCGTATGCGGCACGTAGCGATTGCTATGCCGAAAATGATCGATCTGTAGCGCCCCCCCCCCCAAAGTCAACAAAAACTTATTCTTTTTTCTTACTCTCACAATAAGGGTCTTCAAGACCGTCAGGTAAAGTAGAACACATACCGGTTGATCAATCGTATGCGCATCATACGCCCAATCCCTCTTCTCAATCCGGTCCTTCGCCAGCGCAGACGCAGGTGATCTCGCAGACCCCAGAGCCGCCAGGCTACTCGCCAGCAGCGCCAGCAGTTGCACTCTCATTCTTTTTTTCTGGCGTTATTCGACCGGTTAGGCTCAAACAAGGATTTTTTTCTAAAGCCTAGTTGCGTGGTTGATCTTCTGTACCCTCGGGAAGATGGGGTGAAAAGCATATACATGTACCCACTCGTTGGTTTTTGTATACACATCTATACTACACGAACGAGCCATTTTCTTCTCACAATAGAGCGGGACCTTCGGAATGATGTCTCACAAAACAAACACTTTGCGGTGAGGAATACGAGAGTCGGGTGAGTACGGTGCCCCGAGACATGCTTGTAGTTAAGCATCATGTATAAGAGAAACTTCGTATTGGGCAAGTCAAGAGAGCTTGGTATCGCTTAGTTTGTTGAACGTTGTAGTGCGCGCTGCAGATGCAGTTATAGGGCCTATTAGGGCTTTGACTGTATTGTATGTCTATTGATTGATGGTTCGGGGAAATGGCGATTCAGAATGCTAGCTGGGCGATGTGCAAATTACCGAGACGCTGCTTCTTAGGATGGATGATGTAATTGAGTCTTTGGATAGTTTTGAACTATACAGTGCTGGATGTAGTCGTTAACTTGCTGATTTGGAATAGGTTCCCGAAAAACTTTCTTCGTACCTGGACATCACACCACCACCATCTCACTCAACTATCTCCCTCAATGGCCTGACTTGTAATCCCGTGCGCTCCTACGTGGCATCCGTCGTAACCATCTGCGCGATGCTCTCCTCAACGCCATTTCACACCCCATTCCCTTCTCTCCCTCTAACTCTATTCACAAACCCCTCCAACATATACCTATACGTAGTCCGCCAATCATCTCCCTTGACATCTCCCTTCCCAGCCTGCTCGCACGTATATGCCTTCCAATCTCTCTATCTCTTTCGCCCCGCCCACAATCTCACTCGACCCCACATCTTGCTCACTGTGGGAACCGTCTCGACATCAATCCGATGCCAAACATGAGACCCCATGAGATTGCACAAGACAACCGCCTTGCATATTTCCGCATCAGCACCACTATCATGCTCAACATCTAGCAACTCACTCCACAATCACACATAGACACACTCGATACCGCGTCCCGGAAACTAGGCCAACAGCCCGTAAGCCACAGAAACTTGTATCTCCGCCCTTAGCCCCCCCCCCCCCCCCAACTCCACACAAAATGGCTCCAGTCCCGCCATCAAGCAAATGCATACCTAGCCTGCACAGCCTACCTACTCCGTAGCGCTGGTCAAACGGCAGAGCAATAAAGTCGAATAGTCGCAGCTCCGATAACCCACAGGCTCACTGCCAAACACGCTGCGGGCAGCTGGACAAAACTCGTAGTGAACCTAGATGCATGGCGCAGCACCGGTCCCCCGCGAGTTCAAAGCTGAAGCGGATGTCATGGCCGGGGAAGAAGCCGGCTGGGACTGCGGCGCGGGCCTCGGCGTGCTGCGATGTGCGTGGCGTCGAATTGGGGGGAGGAAGAGATGACAGGCGGGGTGGAAGCGGTAGTGGCTTGCCTCTAGTAGGACGGGTGCATGGGGGCTTTTGGGGAATGGCGTGATGGGATAGCGAGTGCGCTTCTTGGGCGTTAAGGACGGATGGTTTCTCGAGGAGGACGTGTTTTCCTGATTTGAGGGCTGCGGGGGTTGGGCCCTAGTGAAGGCTATTTGGGAGGGGGCTGTATATGCAGTCGGTTGATCGGTCAGCGATGAGAGTTATGCATAATATCTTATGAATTCTGTCAGTATGCTTTGGTTTGCTTCTTCACGTATATCTCTTGCACGTGAAAAAAAAGGCACTCACCTCGTCCTCGTAGCTATCATGCACATTGTGAATATCCCATTCGTTTCGTACATGTCTCTGCCTTTCCTTTGTCTTGCGCTGCAACTGCAACGACAATTACATCGGTGTGAGAACGTGCGGGGACAATCAGTATCGTGTGACTACTTGCTCGACAAAATGCAGGTTAGGTCTAGCTCATACCTCCTCTTTGCGAAGATCCATCGCATGGTGACAAATGAGAGAGATGTAATTATGCAAGCGATTTTCGCTGCACCAAAGCAAAGGGCATCACCCTTCTCCGCCACGGGCTGGCGTACAGCAGCCCATTCGCCAAACTCAGCGAGCGAGCTGAGCCAGTCGATAAATGTCATGATAGATAAGAAGATATGTTGGCGAGTAGGATGGAAGAGAAGACGCAGGTTTTATCAGACTGGCGCGGTATAATGACGACAAGTGGAGAGATAGTGATGCGCGCCTAAATGTCGCCATGGAGCGGGGAAGGTTTGTGAAACCGTGGATGCAGCCCTCGTCTCTTGAACTGCCATGATACCTGGGAAGAGAGAGAGAGAGGGAGAGAGAGAGATGGTGTGCTGGCAGATGCCAGCTATACTCACGCACCTATTCCATCTGGCCTAAGGACTCGTCCTGGACGCTATTTCTTCTCGTACTCAGTCTAAACACCTTACCTACTTGCCAACTCGTACAATCGACGCTGGTGCGTTGTATGGGGCTCCCAAAGGAAGAATGCATTAACCACGATAGTTTAGCTCGAGACAAGACCAAGCCAGCGGTTCACTCCATACCAGGGAACCACTCCAAGGCATTGTCAAGAGTCAGATGGGTGGTCAGCATGTCAAATCAGCCATGGTAACCACCGTGCCGGTAAGCAGCCACATAGTTCCTCCCTCCCCTAAGGTCCGTTCTTGCTCCACGAGGCGCTTGGGCTATCGCCATCTTGGCATCGGACGAGGCAACAGGCTGCAATTCCTTTGTGTCTCTCTTTGGTCCGTCTTACGTGCATGCATGCGATGCAAGTAGAGCGCATACATGTAACGGAAGTTAAAATGCAGCTGAGGCTCGGAAGAGCCATATCAGGCTGAAGTCGTAGTATCAGATACCAAATCTGGAGAGAGCTTACTGTACATACAGATATGCGACGTGTGACGGGGTTTCGGACCTGGGAAAAGATGGGGATCGGTTAGCCGGAGCGGGACCATTATCAAACTCACCCCTTGTGCAAGAAATGTGTGCACATAGTTTATGGCTAGGCGTTCTGGCTGACTTGCAGGTTTGATGGTGTATTGGAAGACGTGGCTATGCCGCGCTATATGGGCCAGAAATAGTTTCTTTGAGCAAGGAAGATCCCACGCTGCATTCATGTTAATATGCTAACTCGGCCCCCTATACCACCCCTTGCCAGGACATATGTCGGATACATGGACATGGGCATGTATGTAAGTAGGTACATATTGTATGTACAGCACATGTGCCTGCATCCACCAGTGGAACCTAGAGTGTGGCAGCCACGATTAGAGTAGTTGCAAGTCCTGGTTCGTCCGCGGATGGTGTGATACGCTGGGGATGGTGCAAGCCTCGTCGTGTTGGGACCAATTTTTGGGGGGGTGGTTAATCCAGGGTGGATTCAACAACCGAGGCATGAATCCTAGGGTGGGCCATTGTGTACCGTTTTGGGAGATGGGTTTACGGTCGCTTAACCCAGGAGTGTACTTAATGTCCGAAGGAAACGGAGTTTAGGTGGGGGAATAAGATGAGGCTGAGTGGCAAAGGGGAGGACGCGAATCATGGGTAGCGCAGGGCGGCCAGCAAGCAAGCAAGCGCGGGATGAGGATTGCTATTGTCAGTACGGCAACCGTGTTTCAGGGTTCAGCGAGCGAGTTGGAAAAAAAAAGCACGGAGCGGCAGTGGCGGAAAAAGGGTGAGGTCACGGTCAGGACAGCCGGAGATGGGTGGCCGCGTTACCGCATCGGACGAGGCGCATGAACGGCAGGTTCAGGAGGCTGCGGTTTGATCGACAGGGTCCCACACCGGCGTGCATTGTGTGGGAGATATTGATCCACGAATGCCTGGGTGCCTGCGAAACAGATGGCGCAAGCGATGTGCAAAAAAGGATCGGATGCTTCATGTTGCCCTTGGATCGGGCGGCTTGTCCCATCTGCGTATGCTGAAGCACAAAGGTAAGGGACAAAAAAGCTTTGCGCCTCTAGTGGGTTACATGTGTGACTGCTGTCCATGTTAATGCGGGTGGGAGTGGTTTGCAGCATGGTGGTAGATAGGCAGAATGGCAATGTCCGCACCGGTGAGGGTCGTCAACAGACGAGAAAAACCTTAAGTCTTCGCCGAGAGCATCGGCGACTGGGCAAATCATGACGAAAGTTGTTTGGGGTGGTACCCATGCGCCGTGGTTTGAAGGTTGCGCATCACGCCAGCCAGTCACATGAGCAAAAATAGATGGCGATACGCAGTGTGTGTGATGACGGGTTCTCGCATGTGAAGGAAGCGGTGAGGGGAGGAGTAGGCGCAAAGTTGAAGGCGGATCTTCCCTTTGCATTGGCCAATGGCCGGGCTGCAAACAAGCGCCACTCTAGAATTTTTTGTAAAAACCGTCTGTCCAGTGGTGCGACGAGACCCGGCGATATGGTTCTGGTCGACTAGACGACGGCCAAATCGTAACGGCGTCGGGGTTGAGACGGTGGCAGGCTGGGGTACACCGCTGGTAATGGGCGTGTCAATGAGTCAGAGGAGGGGCGGTTATGAGCAAATGACCGAAGGACGGGTGCGTCGAGCAAGATTTGGTTCTTGTCGGGGCGGACTTGTCGGTGCGAAGAGAGCAGTTAGCGTGCGTGGGGACAGCAAAAAAGGCATCATGAGCAGGACTGACACTAAGGCACGGCGAGCAGGGGATCCACGATCTGCATGCAAAGAGGTGTGCGATGTGGAAATACGGATATGAGTCAGATTGATCTGCCAGGGATGCAGAAAAGGAAAAGCAAAAAAAAGCCATGTGTGTGCATGGTAAGGAAGTAGGCAGCCAGGGTGGAGAACGAGAGAGAGAGAGAGAGAGAGAGAGAAAGAGCAGAGGGTTCATTTCAGCTAGATGCATGCACACGGCATGTGTGTGTGATTGTGTGCCTGGAGCAGCACAGCACAGCACACACTGACACACCAAGCAGAGGCGAGGGGAGTGGGTAGATGGGTCAGACGATGGCGTAGCCCAAACGCCTCGTCTGGCTGCTTCAAGGATGGATTGACGTCTGACATTGCGCATCTTGTTCCTAGATTTGGAACCATGGGGGCGCACGGAGGACATGCAGGCTTACAACGTCGTGCTGCACCCGCCCCAGCCAATCGCTTAGCAGGCGCCCTCCGACTTTGCTGCTCCAACAATCAAATAATGCGGGCCGAGAGAGGTATGGCGCCTAGACGAGCACAAAAACACGACCCGGAAAAACCTGATTGAGACGAGGAAGGATTGACAGGTGCAAGCCCAGCCGCACGCTCCCTGTGATTGCCCGACCACCACCAGCCAAGTAAGTGTGGCGTTAGTCCTTGGCCTCGCTCACGCTCGTCTCCCCATGGTCCAGGATACCCGGGTTGCGGGTGTGACTTGGTGGTGTGCTCATTCCCAAGCACGAGTATCAAACGCAGTCAGGGTGCCTTTCTCCGCCGTGCTAAGACAACGTGGCTGAACGAGCGGGTCCCGTGGTCGGACAAGGACGGGCAGACGGGCAGTAAGTAGAATAGAGCAAAGCAGAGGGTGTAGTATGTAGAGTGTGTAAGTAGAGTAGCAAGTAAGCGTAGAGAGTAGTAGCGCTGCCGCCGCTGCTTTGTTAGCCATTCACGTGGCTGTCTGCAACCGCGGGATGCGCCACGGCTAATTCCATATACACACACTATCATGACGAAGACGAGGGACACAAGGTTAGAGAGCGAGACAGGCAGACAAAGGCACCGCTCGGCACTTGGTCCGACTTGGATGTATCGGCGTGCCAGTGCAAGCAGGTGGAGTAAGTCAATCATGAGCGGTGAGATGGTGCAACGCTCGCAACCCGCCGTACGTCGTTTGAGTAACAACGGCCTCTGACCTAGCGGGGCCATGATGCGTCGTTAGTAAGGATAGAGTCATCGAGGCGTAGATGCTATAGCTGACGAGGGGCCCTGCACTCACGTCCGGGTATGCTTATTGGCCTTGCAACTCCAACACGACCGACCGACAAGGTGCGCCGACCCATCGTGGGTTTGCTGCGCTGCTGCACTCCAACTGCAACTGCACATGCCGGGATATGAATTCTTCCAAGGCATATACCGGTCACGCGGAAGCTTTCGGTAGGGGCGGGTCAGGAACATGCAAAGGGAGGCGTTGGCCTGACCAGACAGGCCCCCCGTATTGGCTGCCTCTTCCACTTGTAAGGTAGACGTCACCAAACGGGCCACCACGCGCTTGTCATGTGCTGGTCGTGGACGAGTACGTGTACACTAGTAGGTATCTTGGATGTGTCCATGACCTCGTCTCGTCCCATGTGTGCGTATGCCTAACCGTCGACGAGCCGCTCCACTCGCTGCAGCGCTTGTACCCATACCTACAGTAGACCAGAGACTTCCCATTCTTAGCCCCGCGCCCATGGCGGATAGCGGATAGCGGATAGCCACAAAAAAATGTTGGTGGTGTGCACGGCAGCTACCTACCAGCCCGCGGCTCTTTCTCTCTCTCTAGCACCGGCTCCCTTCGACCGGCTGACGGGCTTGCTTTGCCTTGCTCCCTTGTTGAATGAAATGATAGCAATGATAATGATCATCATCGTCGTCGTCGTCGTCGTCAGCATCATGCAAGTGTCACACTGAGGCGCAATAGTACAAGGTATGAGTGGTAATAAGAAGGTGATCTTAGATCAGGTTATTAATGCTACAAATCAAGTATTTGTGGGTATTCCGCCAGGCTACTGTGGTGCCGTCTATAATTGCTAAAAACTCCAGAAGCGAGTGATGCATTGAGCACACAGCCAAAAATGTCCCAAGCGCCAACTAATGCATGCAAAAATCAAGTCGCTCAGTATTACAACGATTGTGGTGCGTGTGCCAAATAAGTCTAGGTGGTGATGATAATGATGATGATAAAGAAACAGGCGTCTATCGAGAAGATTCATTTCCATCCACTCGAGCCAGCAGAGTGTGTTGGGATGCAGGAGCGTAAACAAGTCGAGGCTAGAGGCCCAAGACGGTCTTGTTACCAAGACCAGTGTCGACGTTGCTATCCGAGGAGGATGCGTAACAGTTGCGTTTAACCGGATATCTCGTCAGGTAGTCAGGTGAGTGACAAGGGGGTCTTGTCTCCGAAATCCAAGGCACCAAGTGCGTCGAGAAATAATATCGCGTCGTACTAGCTGGTGCCTGGCGTGAGTGCAGCGTGCCAAGCAACCGTGTGCGGGTTGAATCGGAGCCAAGTGGTGGTATTAGGCCATGCTAGTCGTCGTCGAGGATGCACGCCATGGTGCAGTGCCTGTTGGGGCACTAAAGCCAGCAGACTAGTCCAGGACAGAACATGGGAGCGGGTGATTGACGATGCTCAGTTCTTCTTTGTGGGGATGGCTGGCAGAGGGCCGGTTGGTGGTGGGCCGGGGCATGGAGGAAGGTTCTGGGGAGTCATGATGTCGTTGCAGAGGGTAGCGGCCATTGTATGGTTGTGTGGGTTGGTGTTTGGTAGAGTTGATCAAGTGGTTGGCGAGATGATTGGATGGATGGCTGGATGGATGGTAACCAAGGGACTAGTCGTCGAGTGGTGGTGGTAGTAGTAGTATAGTGTAGCCGTGTAGAGTGGTAGTAGTGGTAGTGGTGTGCAGAGAGAGAGATATATAAAACTCTTATTGTGTGTGCTGTATTCGGCTCTGGATGATGAAACGAGCGTCGTGACAGTGGGGGCGCAAAGTATTTATGCTTGTGCTCAGATTGCAGAGGCCTAAAATGTCGGTCAGCTCTGTGCTTTGGCAGAGTGTGTAATGATTTGGGGCACGGGCCAAGCGGTGAAAGAGGCGTTGGGCTGATGAGCAGGAAAGGGGTGGCTCCTGGCGTGTGCATGAGCTAAACCAGGCCGAAACATTGCCCATCCCGGTCCGTTAATGAGCAGGGGTGTGAGCAAACACGAACCTTTGCGTTACCGCTGGCCGTTTCATCAGCCTTGTGACTGTGTGAATTTGGCACTCGCCCAATCCCGTCACAGCAGTGTCGCCGCCCGCTGCCCTCGCGCTGCCCTCGCGCTGCCCTCGCTCTGCCCTCCCGCTCGGACAGCGCATCATCAATGGGGCCACGCTCAAGGCTGCACTGCACTGCACCGCACCCCCCTCGCCCCCCGACCCACGCCTATGCCCATGAGCATGCCCGACCGGCCTACCAGCGGGCAGCGGGCAGCGTGCAACGGCCTACCAGCACTCCCGACCAGCAGCGCACACAGCGGACAGCGAACGGCGGCCACGGCGGGCGGTCAATTGCAACTGGCCAGTTTGCGTCTGACATCACACGCTGCGACTGCGACGGGGCTAGTGCCAACGGCCGTGGCCACCGTGGGCAGGCAATGAAACGCCCTTCTCCTTTTCCCACCGCGCCCTGCCCACGACGCCGACCCACGACGCCTTCCGAGGCCGCCGTTCGGTGTATATGCAGCGCTCCCTCAGAGAGTGCCGTTTTTACCAAACCTTGACCGACATGGCGTGTCAGACCGCCGCCAGTCTGACACAGCTGCTGCCAGCCTTGGCCCGCTCAATTTGCGACGTCGCCCGTCGCCCATCTCGTCTGCCCACACACGGTCCCCTCTGACTTGCAGCACAACGCGCAACCACACGGCCTCCTAGCGCCCATGGCCACCTTCTCCCGTGCTTCTTCCAAGCTTCGATCCAATTTCTCGCAAAAGTCCCCTCCCCCTAGAATTTTCCGCTCCACTGCGGGCCTGTCTCGCGCTGCTGGCGGTCAATGAAGGCATGGCACGACGACATTCTTCCTATTCCTGGTCCTGGTCCTGCTTCTGACCCTGGCCCGCTCAATCGGCCGTGCCTCTGCTGGCCGACATGCCGGGGTAATCATGTTTGTCATTGTGCGATAGCGCGCGAGGGTGCATGTCTGCATGTGGTATACGCTGTGCGACCACTTACTCACTAGTCGCTCTGTAGGATCTGTACTTACATGGCTGCCTTCCATCGTCGTCGGGTATTCCTAGGCTGTCGGCAAGGCACACGCACGTAGTCAGGCTTATTTTTGTCCTAGAGCTCGGCCCCATTCGCACCACTCGTATCGTGCTGCACCTGCTCTTTGTCCAATGGCAGTTCGGCTGGGCCGGAAGCAGTGTGCAAGGCGAGCTGCAGCCACTCGGCCCCCATGTGGCCATTCGGCTGCCGCGGAGACCAGCACACGACGATGAATGGAGCTGCTGTGCTCATCTTTTTCCTGCCTGGCGCGCCCTCCACGTGGGCCGACAGGGTTGACGCCTGTGTGACCTCACGCAAGCCTATATTTTTTTTCATGGACGTAGCTATTGTGCTAATATTGCAGCTTCATGCCTCAGCGTCCGTAAATTTAGCTTGTGCCGCGCGTGTGGCGTGCCTACTAAGCCTGTATATGCTGGCCTTGCCTTGCCAAATGACGGTCACGGCCGTAGCCATGGCTATTGCTATGGCCAGGTGATGGGAACCGTTCGCCTTGTCACCATTTCCCCTTCCCAATAAGTAATCGTCGGTACCCTGGACAGGTTTGAGACTGATGACACTAAGCAATGGGGCCTTGTGCAATGCCCGAGGGGCCATTCTGGGCGTGGGCGTGGGCACCAAGCGAGCAGATCTACAGGGGCAGCCATCGAGGTCCGAGCGCGCCCACCGCCCACCGCCCCAGGCCAAAAACCGAGAGCGCGAGAGCGAGAAAGAGGGGAAAAAACAAAGCAGCGCCCATGACGCCTTCGGCAGTTGGCTAACACGCCCACCACTACCACCACCAACACATACATAGTCGTGCCGTTTCAGCGCGGTGGAGCGCAATTCGGCCTCGCTGTTACAAGTGCCTGCAGCAACGTTGCGTCCGTAGTAAGACCATGGTTCGAGCAAAAAACAAAAAAAAGACGTTTGCATTTGTAACTGTCTCATCCACCGTCATCCACACTGTCCCGACAACTCGGACAACGCGGAGAGAGCGGAGCGGCGAAGAGGCGCCGAGCCATGTGATGGTGTCGCGGGGACTATTGGCTGCGTATACCATCGACCTCCCTAACACACAAACAACCATCTACGCATACGCGCCTGACGTCTTGATTTCGCCCATTTTCTCACTGCAGTCACCTCCTAGCTGCCAATAAGCCACACGCCTATCATTTGCCTATCCCCATTGTCCTTCTCCGCGATCGACATGCGCCTCGGGCCAAAAAGGACTGCCAGACTGGCTCTGAACTCTATCGCTCGGACACGCGTTCCTTGTCCGCCGTCCTCCTTTGTCCTCAGCTGCGGCCTCTTTTTGATTTGGATGCATCCAAGCTGACTACCACCACTACTACTTTACTTTTATCATTTCCCGCACTCGACCCAAGCTGCTAATGCCCGACTGCCGGCCATCTCCAGCCACACACACTGTCGTGGCTGCACGGTCACCCTCTCGTGCTGCAGGTACACGTCAAGCCTCGTCCGCCCCGCCACCCCACGGCCGTGGCTTGCGCTGCTCTTCGCGTCATGAAACAAAGGCTCGACCACCAGCAAGCCCAGATCCGGCGAGGCCGAAGCGCCAACGACACGTCTGCTTAGTGGACATTAGACGCAAATCTCCAGACTGTGTAGTCGCAGACAGCTACGTAGCAGGCTGAAGCCAGAACAACCCAAGAGCTGATTCCAGACCCAACAACGGGCTGGCCCATGCCAAGACCATAGTTCTTCTCGAGGGCTTGAACACCAGTCACAGTGACATTTGGCGCTTTCGGTGGTGACATGCTAGACCACGCTGTAGTCCCCTCTAGTGCACTGCAGCCAGCCCATCCACCGCCATTACAACGCATGCATACACATCATCTAAAAGGCGCCCTTTTATCTCAACCCACCGTGTTTGTGTTTCTCTTGCCTAGTGCCGCGTCTCAAGTACAGTATCCCCAATCAAAACTTGATCACCAGCCACCCATCCTCGCTCATCGACATGCAGGGCTGCACAGGTGCACGGGCGTGCGATGCTGGCCAAGGTCGCGCAATAGCTGTGGCGCATAAGAATTCGTCCAGCCTAGGAAAACGGTTCGTTGCCTGGCGCAGCCTCTGATACGCACAGATCGCCAGGCGGTCCGCGCCCTCGTCCAATGCAATGGTAAGCCCACGTGGAGTAGGAAATGGCATGAAGCCACAGTCATCACGATTCGTTGCTGTGTGCTAGACTGCGTTTCTTCGGCAAAATATCTCGTGTCTCACCCACACACCCATCAGCAGGCGTGCACTAATCTAGTCGTGCATCGGTTTTTTCCATTACACCGTCTATAGGGCGTCGTCGTCTTCATCTTGCTGTCCCGCCATAGCTTGCGTCGAGACCCAGTTCTCGAGCATCGCCTGGCTTCCAGATGCTGTACCGCTTGCTGGCGCCGCATTTCGGGCGCCACGCCGCTTGACCACCAGACACAGAATCCGACCATAGATGCTAAATCCATCGTAGCATGTCCGGAGGTCGAGTTTCTTGGTCTCATCTCCTCGTTGACCCTCATCCTGGTCCTGCGCCGTGCTTCCCGTAATGCTGGCTTGTTCGGATATAAACAAGTCTGATGTCTCGCTATCGCTAGCCTTGCTGCACGGCGTAAGCACTTTTGGGCGCCATCTCAGAGTTTGTTTCCCTCATGCATACCTCTGTTGCTTTTTCGCTGTCTTGGCCTCGGGGATATCAAAAAGGTTAACTACACCGCTGTCGTCTTCCTGCCTTATTACGATTGGTTCCGCTGCATCTTCACTGATTACAACCGGCTGATCACTTGTCCCGGATGTTAGCCATCCCGTGAGTTTGCCCGAGTTGCTTTGAATGCGGGCCTTGTCCTTGAAGATCTTCTGCTTCGTGAGAACGGAGTGCCGGGATGAAAGCTCCGTCAAGAAGATTGAAACTTCAAAGTCATCTGATAGCAGGTTAGCTAGTGATTGGAACAGGCCGCTGTTAACCTTCTCATCTGCATCGTCGGCACTCCCGGCCATGCAGCTTACCTTGAATCACCACATCCTTGACTCCCTTCTTCTTTGCTTTAGCACCACCCCGTCCCTTGCCTCTTTCGTTTTCCTCTCGGAGTTTGGGCAACACGAGCGGTTGCACTGCTTGGATGACGCGTGGCAGCGCTGGATCGTCGCGTTTCAGTAACCATGCATCTGCATCGGCTGGCCGATCTAGATAGATGCGCACTTCGATGACCGAGTGCTTAGTGATTCGAAGATACCTTCGGAGTGGTGCCATGATCTCGACGTGTTTCACGAGTGGCAGTCGAGTATGTACATATGTAGAACGGTTAGCCTACAAGTCCAACAGCCCTATGGCATTAGACAATGATGCGTGTTCACGTGCAAGCGTTCCGACCCTAGTTCCGATCGGCATGCGCAAAAGTTGGTTGCAAGGACCGCTAAGACGTTGATGAGCACAAGACACCCTCCGCAACGCCGCACGAGCAATGGTGCTAGAACTCCACGTATGGGGTCCCGCATTCGGCCTCGCCTCGATAGAGGCCGAATGCATAGCCACCATAGCATACTGTCATCGCGTCATTCCAGAGGGGGAATGGTCCTTGGTCGCCAGCCATAATCCAACAGTCGGAACAGCAGGTATAGGCATTAATTAGTTCCCGATGGCAGGTTTCCCGTTGACTCACTCATTCCAGAAACACTACCGATCCTCTTTGACGACGGCGTTGCAACGGCATCCGGATTTGAAGACATTGTCGCCTATCTTCGCAACTACCCCACAGTCACCAACGACATAGATGCTGGCCTCTCAAGCGCCCAGCGGACTGACCGGACTGCGTAAGCAAACCCACACACTGATACCAAGAAAGCATCTCACGCGGCCCAGGTTCGGGACCTTTCTCCAGGCAACAGCAACGCCGCTCGTCGATCTCTCCCTCTACGTTTCCGCCGAAAACTACAATAAGACTACCTCGTCCGCATACACGGCCATTCTACCATGGTACGCAAACTACACGGTTCCGCCCAGACGCCGAGACCTGGCCCGGATGAGGACGGCACACATGGGACTGAGCAGTCTGGACGTGGATACTTCGGCTGAGGAAGAATTTGCGCCTGGCCGGGGGACTGCATCCTCAGAATACGAGGCAGCCAAACGGGCAGCTGGCATACCTACTGAGAGCCAGCCCAGGTCTCTAAACATAGGACGTGGCAGGGGCTTGGGTGGCCTTTTGGGTGGCCAGGTGTATGCTGCCCGCTTCAAACTCGACGCTCTTTCGGCCGAACTGCTGGACCCATTGTCAGATCTGCTGGGTAAGAACAAGTACCTGTTCCGGGGAGACCAGCCCTCGAGTTTGGACTGCTTGGCGTTCGGGTACCTGTCTCTCCTCATATATCCCCCGGTACCCCAGGCTTGGCTCAGGGAGACGATTCGGGCAAAGTACCCGCGTATAGGGGCGTACGTTCACAGACTACATAGAGATCTCTTTCACGAGGAGGAGGTCAGCCCTGCTGACATCTGGGCTGTCTCAGCCGGCAAATCCAACATTGCTACCAGCACAACACTGCCGTGGACCACAAGACCAGCAAGTTTCGGAGCAAGTGCCATGGCCTGCACAAAGGAGATTCTGGGAAACCTGCCCGGCATTGCTACATTGTCGCAAAAACGTACCATTGCCACGTCAGAACCGATGGCAGTTTCAAAACGTGTTCGATCAGAGCTACCATCTCGATTGTTTCTCAGCAGCGTATTTGGTGTTGCTGCAACAGCTGCAGTAGGACTTGCGTCACTGGCCATACATCATCGTCGGTCACCACGAGAGGGCGAGTTGATTTTTTGGGCGCTGCGCCCGACCAATGGCTTGGGTGAGGCAGGTAGCATTCTTAGTGTCTTTGCGAATCAACTGCACGATGGAGCAATGCAAGGTCACTTTTAGATAATCTGATACCCCCCTTCCAAGTTATTTACATCCATTGCATCTTGGCCGGAGCATGAAACTACACCTGTGTAGTGACAAATGATTCAACTTGGACTGCTTCACGCACATGTGCGTGTTTGTGATTGGCGTGCAGCCCCTGACTAGACAGATTAAGTTACACTTGGTAGTGCTAGAGGCAAAGTTGTTTGTTGGTAGCGTGAAAATGGTGGCGCCTACGCAATGCCGGCCAGAGGCACACAATAACGTCATATATGTCGGCAAGCAAGACTATGACCACTGGCGCCATTGACATCCGGCACAGCCTATGCTAGCACGCGGAAGCAGGGCAAAAGCTACCTGACTGTGTGCGATAATTCTGGTGTATGTGCAGACAACTCGAGATGCTCAGGATAACAGAGAAGACATGCAGGCAAGGAGCAGCAGCTCGGTTATGCAGGTGGGTATGTAGTGCTAGCCAGGGGCGGTAGATGCCAATGTGGGAGTGTGGAGGATGTGCAATGATGGGAGCGAGGATGGCGGACGAGCCCGAGGACTAGAGTACGTGGTGTATGTACGATCAACCCCTCCGAGTGGGCCGGCAGCCACAGCTACGTCATTCATACTGGTCGAACAAAACCGCCGCCTCACCACGACCCATTTGCGTACTGCACTCCACTCCAACAACAACAACATCACACTGCAACCCACTGTGCTTGAACCCACCGTAAACCCCGCAAACGACACTCGCAAGACAAGATGCACCGAACATACAGCATGCGCCAGTCCCGCGCGCCTACGGCGTCGCAGATCCAGAACCCTCCGCCTCCAGCGTCCTCGACCAAGAGTGGGCGCTTCTTTGGCAAGGCCAATATCGGTACGTTTCTATAGAATCGCTCTTCGAGTTCGTCGTCTTCTTTGCCATCTTTGGCGCAACATGCGCAAAAGCGCTGCCCTGCCCCGCCCTGCCCTTTGCAGTGCCACCAGGTTTCAGCAGCATGGACTACCGGATTGCCTATTCTCCATTTCCATATGCTTTATGATATGAAACTGCAGCTAACCGCCATCATCGAATTCAGGCCACACCTTCCGGCACAAGTCCGCCGGCGCCTTCGGCCCCGATCTTGCCAAGAAGCTCTCACAACTCGTCAAGATGGAGAAGAACGTTATGCGCAGCATGGAGCTGGTTTCGAGGGAGCGCATGGAAGTTGCAGTAAGTATGCCCAGCGCTGTTTGCGACTCGACATAATGCTTACCTATTTCTAGCAACAACTCTCCATCTGGGGCGAGGCTTGTGACGACGATGTTTCTGATGTCACTGATAAGCTCGGTGTTCTCATCTACGAAATCGGTGAGCTCGAGGACCAGTATGTAGACCGCTACGACCAGTACCGTGTCACCATCAAGAGCATTCGCAACATTGAGGCCTCTGTTCAGCCCAGCCGTGATCGTAAGTTGTATGCAATTCCCATTTATTGAATAAAGCTTACAACTACACAGGCAAGCAGAAGATTACCGACCAGATTGCTCAGCTGAAGTACAAGGAGCCCAACTCTCCCAAGATTGTTGTCCTTGAGCAAGAGCTTGTCCGCGCCGAGGCCGAATCCCTGGTCGCCGAAGCTCAGCTTTCCAACATTACCCGTGAGAAGCTCAAGGCAGCTTTTACATATCAATTCGATGCCATGCGGGAACATTGCGAGAAGCTTGCAATCATTGCTGGCTACGGCAAGCACCTTCTTGAGTTGGTCGATGATACCCCAGTAACTCCCGGCGAGACCCGCCAGGCCTACGATGGCTACGAGGCTAGCAAGGCGTACGTCATGATTATTTCTCTATATTGAGCCATCTACTAACATATAATAGTATTATTCAAGACTGCGAGGACGCTCTTACCAACTGGGTCTCCCAGAACGCCTCTGTTTCTGCCAAGCTCTCTCAGCGATCCCGGACTCTTTCCCAGCGCCGCCGCAACCAGAGCCGTGGCCACGGTGAGGGCGTCGATCTCTCTGGACAAGATCAAGCCCTTGATCGCGAGTCTGGTCTATGGATCCCTGCCTCTGAGCACCAAGGTAACGGCTACGAGGACCGCGACGAGCTTGACGATGAAAACAGGTCCACGATTGCCAGCGAGCACCATCGCGGCCGGGAAGAGGAGAGAATGGTGGCTGCTTAAATGCGTTACTGACGGCCTGGGCAGTGTTCCACTCTCTGTCAACTAATAGTCCGTCCTTACAAGGACTGACGATGTATACCCCTGATGGAATGGACAATGACACTGTGAATATGGTTCCACCTTTTCAATCTCATCATCGCTCGAGCTATGTAAGGGAATTTTTGTGTTTTGAATAGTTTGCTCTCACAGTAAAGTTGGGCGTTCCCTTTACGGATGCAGATAGGATGGCTTGTTGTTTTTTGAACCATTTCAAGTAATGCGGAACGTTTTACCGAGTTGGTGCAGAGCGAATATTTGTAATGAAGTCAATCTTACGTATGCTTTTCATGATAGAGTACCTGCTTTCCCCGCCGCAATGTGGCATTCATTTCAATACTATGTAGGATCTTAATCTGCTCATTGTAATGGGAGAATCCGAGTCATTCATGAAGTTTCGCCAAGAAAACCATCACTCCGGACCATCAAAAGTTCCTGGTATCCGGTAACATCCATCATTCCAGACAATAAACTTGTTTTGTTTTCATTTTCTTGGCTTTTCCCCAATTTTTTTTTCTTGTGTCTTGCTCATCGGCTGTTTCGCCGAACTTTCCGCACCCTCACCCACCACTAATTTTTTTTTGGGGGGGGGAGGGGGGAGGGAACACATGTCGCATTCGCTGATGCGTAGGCCAATTCACAGAAGTGGTTTGAGTCTTCTCTCTCTCTCTCTCTCTCTCTCTCTCTCTTCTGATTCTCATATTTAATTAGGTGCAGTCACTACCGGGCTTTTGTTGGGAAAAGGAGGGAGGAGGGAGGGAGGGAGGGGCGAAGCGGAAGAGTCTAGATATCACAAGATTTCCGTTTGCGACAATGGAAGAATGGTAAAAGAAACGGCTAAATTGAAGGGAAATATGGTGAGACTAGTGGGGGGGGGTTTTGATGGCTATAGATTGGGATTTGGGATTTGTGTGCGTGACTCGGTGATCGGTATAGAGTAGCAGAGATTGGTAGGAGGTGCGCTGTGGTTTGGATTTATCTAAAGAATGAATTGGGGAAGGGAGCAGTGTACATGCACTAACAACCCAGCCTAACTTGACCTACTATACCGCCCTGCTTCATTTCACGTGACTTTGCCGTAATTACATTGCGGGGGTGCGTTAGGTATCGATTGCACACGGCTGCTGCTCCGAGGTGGGGGTGGGGACCAGCTCGGTATATATTGACATCAACCCGAAGTGGGGGTTAGGCAGCTCGAGCGGCATTGCTGCATTGAGTAACTCCTCAAAACTACCCTTTCGTGTAGTAAAATCCTACTGTATATACTGCATGCCCTGCCCTGTATTTACCTAGTCTCCCTCTTTTCCCCTTCCTGTTCCTCTATTCTTTTTTCTTTCTTCTTCAACCTGCTATACGATATTTCCATCTACAATCAACAAGGGAGTTTCAAATACATACCACCAAACAAACTCGTCCTCCTTCTCATCAATTCCCCCAAAAACACACCACCATGTCGTCCAAGCCACAAATTGGCTTCTGCGGCCTAGGAGCCATGGGCATGGGCATGGCCACACACCTCGTCAAGCAAGGCTACCCCGTCACCGGCTTCGACGTGTACCCACCTTCCCTCGAGAGATTCGCAAAAGCCGGCGGCACACCCTCTTCTTCGCTCTCCGCATCCGCAAAAGACAAGCCCTTCTACATCGTCATGGTCGCCTCGGCCGCACAAGCCCAGCCTGCGCTCTTCGACGCCGACGGCATCGTGAATGCGCTGCCCCAAGGCGCAACGCTGCTGCTGTGCTCCACAGTGCCCAGTGCGTACGCGCAGGCGGTCGAGAAGCAGCTGGTGGAGATCGGGCGGTCGGATATCTCGTTTATCGATGCACCGGTGTCTGGAGGCGCGATTAGAGCGGCAGATGGCACACTGTCAATCATGGCGGGTGCGTCTGCTGCGTCGTTTGAAAAGGGACAGTTTTTGCTCGAGGAAATGAGTGCGCCGTCTAAACTCTTCATTGTGAATGGAGGCGTTGGCGCGGGAAGTAATATGAAGATGGTGCATCAGGTGCTTGCTGCGATTCAGATCTTATCGCTGAACGAGGCGTATGGGTTTGCGGCCCGGATGGGAGTTAATGGGCAGGAGTTGTATGATGAGGTTGTGGGCAAGAAGGATGCGAAGGCGTGGAGTTGGATGTTTGAGAATAGGAGTCAGAGGACGCTCAAGGAGGATTATTTTCCGGGAGCGAGTGCTGTGACGATTATTCTCAAGGATACGGTATGTTCTACTTCCTTTTACTCACTGTTTTATTCTGCTTGAAAGGTTTGCTAACGTGAACTCAAAAAAAAGGGCATCATCACCTCATCAGCGCGCGCCGCAGCATTCCCCACAACCCTCTGCTCCGTCGCAGAACAAGTCTACTTCTCCGCCCTCGACCGTGGCTGGGGCGCAAACGACGACGCGGGTCTCGTCCGCTTCTGGACTTCCGATCCCGTAACTTCCATCAAATCTACCCTTTCACCCGAGGAGAAAGCCCAAAAACTAGAACACGCAGTGAACCTCCTAACAGGCATCCATCTCGTTGCCGCAGCCGAAGCCATTTCCCTCGCCAAACACGTCGGTATCCCACTACCGCAGTTTTATACTCTCGTATGTGATGCCGCAGGTGGCAGCACAATATTCAAGGAAGCGGGACAGAAGATGATTGAGATTTTAGAGGGTAAGGAGGATGGAAATGGAAGCGTACTAGGAGGTTATGTCGAGGTCTTGAAGTTGGCGATCGAGGAGGCGCAGAGTATCAAGTGCCCCGTGTATCTTGGTTCTGCGGCGTTGAACAAGTTACTGGAGAGCGGGAAGGAATTGAGTCTAAAGGGGCTGTTGGCGTGTTATTTGAAGTAAGGAAGGTCAATAGGGGGGCGGTGTGAAGTGTTTCTTTAGAAGAATTAGAGGAATGAATTGTATTTCTTTTCCCTAGAACTTGTGGTATTGAAGTAAGATAAAGAAACATGACTTCTCGTTGTGCTAAATTGAAAGTTTAATTAGCTTTTTTTTTCTTACTCTGAGTAATCTGCACAAATATACAGTACTAGCTTTGAAAATCGATTAGATCTTTAGGGAATTACAGGATACACAGGATCAGTTGTAATAATGCTATGAGGGAGTGTTGGTAGAACATGCAATCTCAGCTTGATATGCAAAAACAACAACCAAAGGGATTGAGTTCTGTGGATTTGGTTGGAACAGAAGTGATCAAGTATCAGATGTATATCCCAAAGAAAGAGTATTTTGAAATCCGAGTATCTTCATATTGATAGTTGGGATATATAACTAAGATGAAGATAACTACATGTGTTTCTTTCTTTGTTACTTCCAAGTATAATTCTTACTCTATTCTCCCTCTTAAGCTTTTCATAAATACCTCTGTTCCCTCTATAGATGTGCATGCTGATGTACTAAGTAGTCCAACATAGTCAATCTTACATGTTGTACACCAGGCACCAGGCGTGGATTCCTTGCCATGATAGCCCACTTATCCGCAAACGCTTTTGGCTGGCATTATGTGCGAGGTTCCGGGGCAGGACTGTGTACTGCTGCAGAGGCAGTTTCCTTTCGGAGGGCTTCTGGAAAAGGCGATGATGCCCAAGTGCTCGACTCTCGAAAGCCCCTTCATACGCATGCCTTGCGGTGTATCCCAGGCTGGATGCCCAAATGCCGCTCTCCATGGGGGAAACACACTGGGAAACTCCAACTCTTCTTAGAAGAGTTTGTGGTACTTGCTCAAATGCTCTACTTCGTCTGAAATCATGTTCGCATCGCCATTTCCAAGTCTCTAGTCTCCTTGCTCAAATCTTGCACATCGTCTTGCGCCATGGTCTGCGCACTGGCTTCTATATCTTTGATAACATTCTCCAACCCTCTGACTAGTGACTCAATCTCCGCACGCTGCGCTGTGACGGTCGATAGCAGTTCTGTGTTGGCTTGCTGTGTCTCGGCGAGTTTAGTGTTCATGGTGGTGGCTTGCTTTTCAAGGAAGGGCATAAGATGGGCTAGGTGGATCTCGGCGGGCGAAAGGGTGTGAGGTCTGCGCAATGTTTAGTATTGCGAGAAGAACCAGGTCGGCGCATGTGTAGTACTTACGGCACGGGCGTCTCCACGGGTCCTCCGTTTGCGCTCTCCTCCGCACGTTTCTTCCGTAGCCTTGCATCTTCTATACATTGGTCCAGAGAGTTGAGTAGTTTGACTACATTCCTCCTCTCCATGATATCCTCAAAGTTGCTTTTCCATGTTCGATCGAGCTGGTCAACGATTTGACCCCTCAGGTTGTCCAAAACCTCTGGGCTATATTGCGCAGCGGTAGGGAAGCACGAAGCAAAGTTCTTGGCCGAGCACTTGTCTAGGGTGGCTTTCGAGGCTTGGTTGAAGACATTGATCAGACCTTGCGCGCGTGGTCCAGGCGTCTCGGCGATGGGCCGGGCAGGCGTGGGAGAGGGCGAGCGGGAATTGGAATTTGTAGCAGCAGGCATCATGTGACGGGTCCTTAGGATAAGTTGGTCTCGAATATGCTACTTACGGGTGTGTGGTTGCTGCATCGCAACCATACCGGCTATGTTTACTCGACAACACGCTACTACTAACCGCACACGTGATGACGCGCATTGTTAGAATGCCCCCACTTCCCCGCGCCTATGCTACGCAGCCACACGCTGACGTGATGAGGCTTCACCAAAAAACCATCGTACCTGTTTATTACTCGAACCTGAATAATACAATAAAAAGGGTTTGACGACCACTAATAGATGTTGGGTCTACCTAAGTCCAGGGTCTTCTTACCTTGGAGTTGTCGACTGTATACAAAAGAGTCGCTTAGTATGGAGGCCCACCTACTAAGAGAAAGGATTGAATCAGATTTATACCGTTGGATGTTAGGTATCAGATATAGTTGTATTGGAAAGAACTATGGTATACGAACACATGAAAATACCTTACTTGACCTTGAAGGACTCTGGAGCTATGAGCGTCGAGGTTTTAGTTGAGAAAGCACACAAGCTGATGAGACGTAAACATGCTGTATCTTGGAAATGAACAGAGTGGTAATCTTCAATTTAACCGTTGAGGTTCCTCACACTCTTGCTCTTCTCATATCCATATAGGCTTGCGAGGCCAAACGACAAAATTACCAGCGTTTCATACTTCTGCTGCATTGTCGAGTTGCCACCATCAGTTATTTTCTGTGATGCCTAGTTTCTACAATTGTATTTTTCGTCTTATATTGTTTGTTCTCACTGGCGCAGAGAGTTGGGAAGTGGAGTGGTGTGGGGGCGCTCACGTGAGTGTATCTTCCGTGACGCAGGGCCAACGCATGCCGTTTTCATGAGTTATGATCCTTCTTTCTACAATCCCATGACAATGTCTTTGGCCTACAAATCTACAACACCATAAGACCTTCATATCGAAATTGCCGCGTTATGCATCGGCTGGACGACCTTGGCGCAACCTGCATGCCAATGCGAACACTGCCGCCGCCACCATCCTGAATCCTGCGCTTATATGTCCCGAGCCTTCCTCTCGTCTCTTCGAGTGGTGACGCGGCGTTTATCCTGACACTAAATCGGCAATCAAAATGGATGACCTGCCCTCGTACGAAGCTGCGACTTGTCCCAATGCTTGGACACTCATTGCGCCGTACCTACCTTCTCAAGCACTATGCTCTGCAGCACTGGTCTCTCGAGAATGGAACAGAATTTTTACACCGTGCCTCTGGGGAAGTCCAGCCTCTCATTTTGGAGAGCAGAATGACGTTGTTTTTGGTATAGAAGAATGGTGCAGCGAGCAGGAAATATCTACTAACTCATACATCAGTGGCCCTGACGCGATTTAAGCGTATTCTGCCTAATGCGCGCACTTCTGTGTGTGAGCTCACGCACACGCTCTGTCTTCCCCCTGCTCATGCCGAAATCTATTCTGGTCCGCATTCAGAGTGGCTTCGAGACTGTCTGGAATACCTCCCTCGTCTCCAATGTTTGATAGTCAATGGCCTTCCATTTTTTGATCATGCGAGCCTTCTTAGCCTTCGCTATCCAAGCCAACGATTAAGGCCTAATTTTCCAGTGTTCAGTCTGAGACTGCTTGATGCCTCGGGCTGTATGAATGCCACATCAGCAGGACTTGCAGAAGCTCTTCCGCATTTCCCTGATCTTGTCTCGTTGGATTTGTCCAAAACTAGAGCCGCTAGAGGCACGGTGGTGCTGTCTGCTCTCAAGCACCTTCTCAACCTGCGTGTTCTCAACCTCTGCGGTATTGGCCTGAAAGATGAAGATTTCTCGATAGTCGCGCACTCGATCCGAAGTCGGGTCAGAAGTCTTGATATCAGCAACAACCTCTTAACGGATACCAGTACGCGACTTCTCCTTGAACTCTGCCTGAAAGAGATAGTCATCACTCCACATACGCACCGGGGTCGTTTGGCACCTGTTGAGCAAGAGCAAGGGGGTAATGAAATGGATGTATTCGAGTCCGAGAATCTTGTAGGACCTCTTCGTAAAAAGCTCATTGGAGGTTTCGTTGGCACACTACCAATCGAGGAAGCACGAGATGTTGGGATATCACATCTCTACTTATCAGCAAACAGCATCACCATTGAAGGAATATCTTCTCTACTACGATCAGGGCGCCTTAAGGTTCTTGATGCAGGAATATTGCCTGCTACAATCAGAAATCCTTGTCCTGTCGACCCAGGTTCTGGAGAAGACGACATGAAGCTGCCGAGTGTAGCCAAGCTAGTACCCATCTTGTCCGAATTCGCACGTCACAAGTTGCGATATGTCAGACTCAACTATCAAATAGTGGCGGAAGATGCTCCCATCGAGAGAGCTAAATCGCCACGTGCAGAACTTTCTGGAGGACTTGGAGCTTATGAGCGTCCAGAAGCTCATGAGCTTGAAAACACGGAGCTACCGACGGCTGAACTTGATTCAGAATTCACAACTATCCAGGAAATCGCAGATTTTTCATACCTAGTCGAATTGCCCGGCTCTTTCCCACTAACTGAACCGTCGAACCATATGTCTTCAGGCACAGCTGCCAGTGGCCACAAGGCAGTGGCTGCACCAATTCCAGCTGCCATCATTACTTCACAGCCGTCGTTGAGCAAACAAGAGTCCCCAAACTACCCAAATCAGACGATCTTGCCGTTATCCCCAATCAGTCCTCTTCATCAAAGCTTTGAAAACCACAGGTGTAGTGGCAAGGAAGACTTGTCCCCATCACGGAGCCCTTCGCTGTTTCCGCCCACGCCTACCCCCGATATGCAATTTTCATCTGCACTTGTTTTTGAAACGATATGTCAGGAAAATACCCTTAACCAGGTTGAAGACATGAAAGCTCAGCTATCATATCGCCAATCGCAAGAACCCCGTCTGCATCCAGGGATGCTACCCAATTTACACACTCTGGTTCTCACCAGTGTACCTATTGCAGCTGAAAAGTACGTGGTAGACCGTATCATCCAATTCATCAAGGATGTAGCCGATGAGGCTTCGATTGCTAGAAAACAGGCCAGAAATACTTATGCGCTCCCTCCAGGTCGCAGGCGTGCCGTGGCTGAAGAGGAGTATGCGCGCAGCTTGTTTGCCCTCCGACGGATTGTTCTAGAGATGGCTTCTCCGCAGCCGGCACCCAAAAAGATATCTACCAGTTGGCGCGCTTATCCCACGAAGTCAACCACTGAGGATGCTGATTCAGAGGCCTTTTGGGAAGCCGCGTCGCGCGACTTTTCGTTCTTTGGTGATGAAGAGTGTGGACAGCCCAGTCAGCAACTAGTTCGTCCGATGCCTTTGGAAGTCATGGGCGGGCTCGAACTTGCTAGTGATCATACTTACCCAATTCTTGAGCCCAGGGAA